ATTTTTGAATAAAGTTATTTTAGTGATATTTCTAGTTGGAAAATTGATATCTGTACAGACAATGAGTAAGTTGATTCCAGAGTAGATGATTGCAGTGTTGAAATATAGAATTGTGAATAAAGGTATACATTTTCCCAATAGACATATCACTAAAATTAATAATAAAAATATTGAAATTTGAATAAGACAATTCTGTCAATTGAAAGGCTCAAATACCGTATAATCAAATACTGTATTAAATTGAACGCAATGTGTTTTTCTCTTTACGTGCAAAGTAACATTTTTAATAATATTGGCATTGTATTGAATTAAATTATCTCTTAATAACCAATAATCATAATTATTACTAATGTTTCTGACATTTCATAGATAGACAGCTTCAAAATGAGCCAGTTGGCTCGAAGCGTTATTATGACATTAATTAGAACTTGTTTATTGAGAAATATTACAATCTATCTGAAAGGACATTTATAGTGTATCAGAGAGCACATTCACGCTCTGTGTAAAATAAATTAAACAGCAAAATAATATAACTAAAACTAAATATACTTATATTAAATGTACATATACAAAAAATAAACTAATCACAATAACAACTTAAATACAAACCCACTTTTATACAATATTAACAAAATTCTTTCACTAAGGGAAACTCCGAACCAAGCCTTTCCGCCAACTCTTGGAAGGAAAGGCAGGTCTCTAGGAGATCCCAGCGCCTCTCACTGTCTCACCAGACATACATGGCAATGGCATAAATAAATGGAAAAATTGAAAAGACAATTGATTCCTCGAAAACACCGTATTCAAAACTCCTGTTCTGTTTTGCATACCGGAAACAGAACCGGTACGTTTGTTCCCTTTCTTATTGTCTCTCCACTTAGTGTCACGTTTTAACTTATCTGTTCTTCGCCAGTTTTTTAGGCTTACTCTTTTTTTCCCCTTAGTGTGATACTTTTATCTTCCTTCCACGCTAGTTTACTAACGAATCCTTCTAGGGGAATTTTTCTAGAAGATTCTTTCCTTTGCTATGTACATATTTTATACTTTATATTATTTTTTTTAAAATATATTTTCAGAATAACTTATTTTTACTTTCACTTACGTATATATGTAATATATAGCAAGTGTATGTATTGCGATCGAGAAAATTTTTGAATCTGAGTTTTCGACGGATTTATACGTTTTGAGGTACCCTGAGTCGAAATGACCAAGTCTCGAAAAATGGTCTGTGTGTTTGTATGTTAGCAGTCCAGCTCAAAAACGAAAAGTTCAATGAAACTGATATCAAGTATTTAAGATAGGTATATGCCTTAGTTGTGACGGCAACTTTTTCCTTAAAATCGGCTAACCGGAAGTGCCACTTTATACCAACGCTGAAACACATTTTCACAGTTTTCTCAAAAACGGCTCTAACGATTTTGATTAAACTCGGTGTATCATTGTATAATTAAGTGGTCTTTAATATAAATTGGGTCTTATCCCAATTGATGTCACTTTACAGGGCTTAAATGCCCAATGTTCATATACGTCTTCCTCTAAAGTACCTTTAATATGGTTTATTTTAAAAAGATAATTATTTCGCATTATTCAGAGTTGCGAAAAAATGCTAAATATAACTTTTGAAAGAATTTGATAAGTTAATAAAGGAGAAAAAAAATAAAAATGCAGAAAAACGTAGCTATAGACTGTAGCGCCTAAACGAATGTACCGATTTCATTGAAACTTCGCTAAAGTCATTTTCTCGACACCCTTCAAATTTATTTATTTTGCGTATAACGTATCTTTTATCAACACAAAATGGATTAGTCAGCAAATAAAATATAACTTTACTTGAGCTCGTGCCCTCAGAGTAGCTTAGACAATTACTGTGTATATATTACGAATCAAAGATAGAAACGCTTAAAAAGGAAATACAGCAATGGGTAAAGAATTGGATCCTTCTGTAGACTGTGTTTGAATATACTTATTATTATTTTAATTAATTCGCCGAGATCAGCAAATCAAAATATTTCGAGTAACATACTGTTTTTAATGAGACCTTTTAAAGCTATTTAATTCTACAAACTAGAGCTTGAAACGGAAAAAATAAATATATTTTTTAAAAGTTTCGGTACCATTGGAACTTTTATTGTTGATAATTTTTCAGTACTTTTGGAACTAAACTTTTTCCCTAGCAACTTTTGCAGTTAAAACTTTACAGAACTTTTATTTAAAACCTATCAATTTAAAACAAACTTTAATTCTAATATAAGCCCAATTACCGTTTATTTCTCATTTAGCAAAACGTTTTTAAAGAACTTAAATAAATAAAAGTTAAATTTTTAACGTAAATCTAGAACTTTAGTAAAAAAAAAGTTTCACAGGATCTGTTAAAATGGAACTTTTTAAAAATGTTCTATAAAAGTTTCAAACCAGCTATAAATAATACCCATCTTATTCCAATCCGATTGATTGAAGTAATTTAGAATTAGTCCTATTTAGTAACGTTTCAATTTAACTGAAAGAAGAAGGTGATCCCAATGGGGATTGTGCAGCCCTCAAAAAATTTTGTAATACTTTTGTATTACATCCTATATGTTTTAACATTACAAAAAAAAAAAAAAAAAATTGTTTCCTTGATCCTTTAGTTAATTATCAAATTATTTCATATTTTATGTTTAACTATCTTTTGTATTAGAGATGAATGTGAAATGGCAAAACTTTTCATATTAAAAAAATTAAAGGTACTTTAGGGTAAGCTAATATTGAAAATTAGCCATTTAAATCCTGTTAGAGAACATCAATCAGAATAAAACCTACATTTTATTTAAAACTTTTTAATTTCACACTGATATAATGAATTTAATCAAAATCGTTAGAGCCGTTTTCGAGAAAATCGTAAATGTATTCAGTCCATGATATGAAGTGCCACTTCCAGTTAGCCGATTTTGACGAAAGAATTGCGGTAAGATCCCAACATGGGCAAGTTTGGCATCAAACTTTGTTATGGAGCATATTTTGATGGGTTTTTGAATTTCTTAGGGGTAAAAATTTCAACGGGGTTATGAGTTTTCGGAATGAAAAGTTACAGTATAAAGAGAAAGGAGAAAACGTGAAACACACCACAGCAAATACAATTGTGTATTATCTACGATGTTTCTAATTCTACTTTCAACAATGTTAATATCAACACATCGTTATATTGATATCATTGAAATTATTTTATCGGTTTTCAAATTTTCTAAATCATTTATTATTATTGCGTAACCAAGTACTCCTTGTTTATATCTGATTACAAAAATTACTCAGCCAAAATCATGTTATGTACTATTCCATAGTTCAACTGCTTCTTCGTTAGTAAAAATAAATATTTTTTTCATATAAAATTTCATTCTTATTAAGGATATATTTTGCGTTATTAATGACAGTTTTAGAAAGTATTATAGCCTTACTATAGATTGAGATGTATAGTTTTTAAATTTCTGATTTCAAAGTAATCTTAAAGTAGTATTTTCAAAAACTATGCCTAAACGAAATTATTATAAATCGATACATTAGTTAACTTCTGTACACTAGCGGATCCAGAATTTAATTTTTTTTTGGGGGGGGGCTTCAGCCCGTAAGCGTTTTTTTTCATAAAAATGACGATAATTACTTTGGAAAAAAAGAAACTAAATATCTATATGAAATGGTGTTTAAGTGATTCCTCAAGTCCTTTAAAATGTAATTACACGAAAAATAATACTTTAAGGTATAATTTTTTAATATATTTTTCCATAAAACTTAGTTATATTTTACCATTTTAGGGGGGAGGGGCTTCAGCCCGAAAGCCTCCCTTCCCCCGTAGATCCGCCGATGCTTCTGTATAAAGGAAGAAACTTCAGAAATCTCATCCCTTGGGTTCCCTGATAAGATTATATTGAATAGGATTTTGGTGGGTGGACTCATCTCAATATATTAATATAATATTTAAATTGAACTAATTATTTCTAAATATTAAATATAGAAATTATGTACAGATTCCTGTATGTTCCATCCTTTTGAATATATACATGCTTATAAATTGAAGTCCCAATTTCCAAGTGTCCACAGTAAAGAGGGCTTCATCTGGTTATAAATATATTAAATGTTTACAATAATTAAAGCAAAGCATTCTTGCCATTTGACCACTTATGGCATAAGTTTCCTGTTGGGTTTTTGGTTTATTATTTTCAATAATGAAACATTGTGTCGACCAAAAAATTCAAAAACATAACCCCCTATCAAAATTTGAGGTTTCGACGCCCTTTAAATTTATCTATATAACATACTTCAACGAAAAGAAGCTGGAAAAAAAGTTACTAGGGATGGTAAAATTAAATTCCGAATAACTCGAAAAGTTTTAACTTTTTTGTTGATATTCTAATACTTTTCTAAAAGGTTACGAAATTTCCTAAAAAAAAAACCTGTTAAAATCAGACAATTAGGAGCAAAGATATGGTCTCCGGTTTTTTTGTGTTCCACCTTAAATGTTATATCCTTGTCCTTGGTTTGGTTTTTAAATTTTAAATGCGTTACTGAACTAATGCTATTTTTTTTTTTAGCATATTACTAATGATTAAAGAAAAACAGTTTAGTCTAATACTTGGAATCACCTGTTTTTTTTTTTCTTTGTAACTCGGAAAGTAATTTTACTTTAGAAGTATAATTGTTTAGAGATAATAAACCATTGTGAAATAATTTGCAGCGTTTTTGTTTTTAAATTCATGTAGTAGTGAAATAATTTAAATTTTTACTTAATGAAAATACCTCTCCAAGTGTTCTTTTAAAAAGTTATTTAAATGAATTACATGAATAAAATGTCATTATCAAAGAAGTTTTAATAATATTAACATTTAAGTTCTTGAAAACTTACAAGTTCTAAAAAACCTTTACTTTTGAAAGTAGAGTTCTACTTCTGAAGTAACAGGAAAAAATTGAGAATACCAGTATGTTGGGGTCAGGTAATTGTGATATTGAGAAATGTTTAACACATTCATCCAGTAATTTTTTGCACGGCCATTTACAAAATTCAGGCATCTCTCTCTTTTTATTAATATAAAAAATAGAATTTAATTTAAACTGACAGAACAAGAATCAATTAAATTTAAGTCAGAGATAAACAAAAGAAAGTAATTTACAGGCATTGATGACCTAGAAGTTTTGAGCCTCATAGCCCCAACAAACATACAAGGACCAGTCATTTTCTGTAATATACAAATGACTAATCTTCATCATACAGACTAATCTGTGTTAAAACCAGAATTAAAAATTGGGTAAACATATTAATAACATTTAACACTTAATAGACCTTAAGATATAACTTTATTACAAGACTTTGACTAATGTGTTTAAACAATTTGATTTATAATCAAACAACATAGCCAGCATACATAATAAAAACGATATCAATAAAAAATTTACAAAAAAAAAGGTACATAATAAAGAAAATTTTATTTATAGCAACAACGAGGCGATACAAAAACAAAACTGGGAAATACTAATCTAGTACATTCTCACTCCTCATAAAAGTCTTTATCTCAGTTAACACTACCAATTTACGATGGACTCTGTCCAAGAGATATCTTTGGAAATTTTTCTTTACATTTCCAATTTCGCAAGGATATCTGTTTCCCTAAACAAGTGGTATTCTTTATTTTCCTCAATGTCCACTTTGGTGCCACCGTATTCAGGCAAAAGAACATTATCACCAACTGATACTTGTGGTGGAACTAATTCTCCATTCTAAAAACAAAAACACCATGATTTATAAAAATAATAATTTAACATTAGGAACTAATTATTAATGCAATTTTACAAAGTGAAACATTAACCTGGTTTCTAGCTCCTGGACCAACAGCTACAACAGTCCCATGAAGAACTTTTCCTTGTGATTTTTCAGGGATAACAATGCCACCTTTGGTTTTAGTTACAGCCTCTGCCCGTAAAACTAGAACCCTATCAAACATGGGCATCAGTTTCTTGATTGCGGCTGCTGCCTTGGCCTGTAAAAAATATTAACTATATTTTATGGCTGGTTAGCAACAGTAAAAACATACCAATTTACAGAATAAATGAATTAAAGTAACAAAACTTTATGGAATTTTTCCTCCCTCAAAATAATTGAGGTACTACTGCATCTGCAGTAAACCAATCTTCTATTTGAGCAATTAAAGTATCCCACAAACTATCATTGTCTAAATCAATAATCAATAGCTTACCTATTCAAAGGGTTTTTGTTCCCTCTCATTTCTTATCATCTGGACATTACACACATCAAAAAGAATGTTAATTCTTCAGTTGTGTAAATGTATATCCAGAACTAATATTTTATGCCACCAAAATTAACCATCACTTCAAGGCTTTCAAATTGACCATTTATGCTCATTAACCTTTTTCTTTCTTAATACACTAGTATCAACAAGAATATGAATGATTTTCACAACTTAGTAAAATACGATGGTGTAATTTTACTACTGTTTTATACACAACGCATGTTGCTGATGTTTGATCTAATCAATTCTTTCTCCTTACTCTAGACAACTGTTTTCAACTTGATAAGTCAATAATAGGAAGATACATGCTAGCTTAAAATAAAAAAACCTAATTTAGACTGCATTAACAATGGATCACATTTTACATAAACTTCCAGAAAACTAAAATAGGTTAAATCTCGAATTTTTATCAAATATTTTGTTTGATGGCTCGATTACAAAAGATATCAATGTAAAATAAAATTACTGAAACCTATTCTCATTCAATTTTGAGCAAGAAATAGTAAAACATTTAGCTGATAAGGCTCTAGCCCCAGGATTACTGTGCAAATGTTGGAATTTGCATGATTTGAACTTTTGAAACACTTAATTGAATAAATAATTAAAGTATTCTCTAAGTTGTGGCAAAATGATGACTACTAATAAGAGACATTATAGAGAAAGAAAGGGTTTGACTCAAATAATGACATACAATGCTAGGTAAAACACTGTTCGTAAAATAACATCGATAAATAATATTAAAAATAATAAATCAAAATATATTTTGAAAATATTGTGATAATAATTATGAGGTAAGGGAGCAAACACAAGCAAGACGCGTTTCATATAATAAAATTCAAGCAAAAAAATGTGTGTTAACATTAAATTATCAAGAAACTAACTCATTAGGATGTAATAGAAATAATTAAGAAATGCTTGATACAATAAATAAATATATTACGTGATAAGATCTAAAATTACATCATCCACAATATTATAAGGAATTAAGACTTAGTAATTACTAATAAATATAAGAAAACCTTTAAATACTAAGAATTAACAATTTCAAAATTGTAGATCAAGAATTGAAACCGTACAGAAGTGTTATCAAAATATTTTATCAAATGCCGGATGAACATAAATAACGAAACAAAAAATTGACAGTTGAATTTCTAAAACTTAATAACTTAGTTGAAATCTTACCATTTTGAACGATGATAATGGTTAAACACCACAAAACTTGACAAGAACCGAAGAAGATAACGTGCCTACTGAGACCTCGCTCCTACAATGATCGAGTACGAGAACTAAAATGGCCGACTTCTCCGAAAAGACCGGCTTCCCGAAAAGCACGTGGCAATTGTTTTTTATCGAAATACGTTAACAAATATTATTCGTTGGATGTATAACTACTTAATAATTGAAAATAAACAGCCACTAAACTTAAATATCAATATGATTAACGTTATTAGAATATAAATGTTAAAATTAGTTTGTAAAACAGATGTTACGTCACAAATCGAAAGTTCTAGAACCTAGAGGCAATCTTTAAATTTCAAAAGAAAATACGGCTAACATCTCATAATTCTAGTTTTATATTGTAATATTATTTAATAATTAAAAATTAATATTAAATGAACATAATTTCATTCATTAACACCATTTAAAGTATTAATTTAAAAATCCATAGAACTCATCGAAAAAAATGGCTGCCTAAAAGCGTGCTGAGGTTCTAGCTCATTCTCCATCATTCCTAAGTCTGCTACGGTGGAGATCGTTTCTATTCTCAGTTGCTGTTTGAATCTTTCACGTGTCTAATTCTAAAGTAAGTTTTGATAGAATCCATTGTTCCAAATTTGGATATCATTTATTAAAATTAAGTTTTGGTGTTAAAATCAATTTATTGACCTAATAATTTAAAATTCGTACCGGTACTTAGCCGGTTAATTGGTTCTCTTTTTTTTTAATGAAATAATTTATGATAAAGAGACGATAAGTAATCGGCTGTATGATGTATATTGTGGATGATATATTATGTCAATGTGTTAATTTCTAGTCATATTTTGTCCATGTAATTATTATATGAACATTGTTTCATTATCCATTCATCTAGCTGGTAATTTATTTAAGATCCTATACTTAGTCTTAATCAAATAATTGAGATGTTAAGAAAAGCTTATAAAAAAAAAGCGACTGATCCTATACTTAGTCTTAATCAAATAATTGAGATGTTAAGAAAAGCTTAGATTCATTTTTATTCCGAAATTAAATATAAATTAAGTCAATATAATAAATAAATAAATTTTTATTTGGGCATCGACTGATTAGTATTATTTTGGAACTTTATTTATATTATACTTGACATTATCCCATGATAAGTTAGTATATACATTTTCACCTTCCCCTCTCTTATCATATTTATTTTATTCTCTATTATCATATTTTTTATTATTTTAAGTTCTATCTCTTCTCAATTATTGAATAATTATTTATTTGCTGACATATTTCATAATTCATGCATGGATAATAGATTTATTTTATTTTATTAATGAATTACTTGAAACTATTCAATTTTCTTCTTGAAAATTAACTGATAGAGTATTAAATTTTCTTAATGAATGTCTATCTCAAGAATCTAGATTCCTCATTTAATTTAAAGTTTTAATTTGCTGCAGCTGATGAATGCACATTAATCCATTGATTTATATTTAACTAGAAAAGAATAAAAACTCTGTAGGCTTTCTTTCTAAATAAGAGTTCTCTAACTTATCTTTCTATATTAGAATTCTTTTGAAGTCAATAGTGCATGCTAAAAGAACTCATATTTAGAATTAAACCTAATTTTATCATTGTTTTTTAATTGTAGTAAGAAAAAGTTATAAAATTTGAAAACTATTTTTAATCATTATCTTCCTTATATTTATTTGAAGCTTCATTAGATTAATGTTAAGGATAAGGTCTAGTTCTTAGGCTAAGGAAGGTCATTCAGAACTGGATGATGCAAGACTGAAGCATAGAGGAATAGTTATCATATTTTCTTTTGTACAAATCTACTAAAACTCTTCAACCCTAGCCTAATTTTTACAATCACCTAGTTTTTCTTAATGTTTTTAATCTTTGTAAGCTTCTTAATTATGTCTAAAATCAATTTGATTACTACTAAATAATTTTGGTTATTTAATATTCTAAATATATTTTGGTAATTAATTTATTTCTTATCAATCATTGATTTACCTATATGATCTCTGAAATATTTTCTGCTTAGGAGTGGGTAAACTATTAATTTACCAATATTTATTTGAAAGTGAAAAAAAAAAAATTATAATATGAATCAGAATTCTATTCTTTTCAATATTGATCATATAAAATCTATCTTGATCAACTATTAAACATGAAAATACTTCATAATTTTAGAATTGACAAGTCATTACCAATGATTTTTATCTTATTTGCATAAGATCAGTCATAATTCATTCAAAATCTTAATTTACTATAAAATACTAAATTATATGAATGGGCATAATCATTAAAGTCTTTAACGGGTTCATTTTATAATAATCTGAATATAATGTTCACCATCTTTTAAAAATTAAATAATCATCATATAGTGTTATGAAGATGATATCCGTCAGAAGTATTTGCTATTATATTTCCATAAACTATAATATTTTTCTATTGAACTTCATTAATACGGCCTAGGAATTTCCCTATTTACTTTATTAATACTCCTGTATAATTATATAATTGATACTCGTTAAAAATCTCAGGTCTGATAATTCTGTCAAGTTCAGATTGATAGTGCTGTATCTGGAAAGTACTGGAGTGTTAGCGACTAGGTTCACTGCTAGCTGCACTCTTTCAGTCCCAGTTGATTTTTTTTATTTGAGAGATAGGCCCTTCTTAATTCATCAAATGTCTCTCTCAATTTATTTTTAAGAAAGGTGTGAAAATCATTCAGCTCTACTTAATTGTATCAAGTGAAGGGAGAAACAGAATTATGCTATTTTAGTTGATATATTAGATCCTAGAGTTATCTTGTCAAGTGTGAAGGTCTGGTGTGCCGCCTATAAGAGTGTACTATATTAATTCATTTTATGAGCAGTTTTGATTGAAAACCACCATTTAAATTCATCAATTTATTGATTATTATCAATGAATTACAAACTTAATTATTATTTTAAAAAACAATCTTTAGCCGAGACCTTTTATACACAATTATAAACATAATTGACACTTGAGAAAACATGTAACCCTAACATTGATAACTTCGAACAGACTAACAGATGGATTTTGAAGATTAATTAAACTCTAATACGACTAACCAACTATTTAGCGTAGTCTAGCAAGCTTATTTAGTCCAATAAAAAAAACGGCCAGACAATTCTCTCCAATCTCATTGGTCAGAACTGGCACTTATTCTCCAATTCTGCAAAGTCGCTATGGTATGTTTCTGTACCAGTCTCATTCTATGTTGACATCTTATGACTTCAAAATATTTCCTTCACTGTGTGAAGCATTAATACTGCTTCCGTACTGAATAGCTAATGCTGTTAAAAGTCTTTCTTTGGCCATTGGCCTAGCATCATGATGTGGTTTAATATAGAGAATTGTATCCAAACTTTTTTTTTTCTCTCTTATTTTCAATACGTGACCTAAATTGCCTAAAGCAATCGTCACAGACTTTGAGATAAAATTCTGGTGATCAGCACTGTCACCCATTTCTGATGTTGATCTGACATTTATAATTATTTCATTCCGATAAGTCCATATGCATTACTTACACTTACCTGTATATGTAATATATAGTAAGGGAAAGTATTGCAATCATGAAAACTTGTTTTAAACATTAATACACATTTTGAGGTCCCAAGTCTCACAAAATGGTCTGTGTGTATGTGAACACAGTCTAGCACGTAAACAAAAAGTAGTACGAAACTGAAATGTACGTATTTATAATAGGTAAATGCCTCAGATTTGACAGCAACTTTTCCCTTAAAATCGGCTAACCGGAAGTGCCACTTTATATCAATGGTGAAACATATTACAATTTTCTCAAAAACGGCTCTAACGATTTTGAATAAACTCTGTGCTTCATTGTATAATTAGGTGGTCTTTAATATCATTTATGTCTTGTCCCCATTGATTTCAGTTTACAAGGCTTAAATGTCCAATGTTCATGTATGTCTTCCTCTAAAGTACCATTAATATAGTTTATTTAAAAAAATTAACATCTTTTATTGACAGTAACTATAAATAATGGCCAAGTATATGAAGTTTAAAATAATATGATAAATGGGAATTGGGCAAAATAAGAAAAATGCTTATACATGTTGAAAATGAACCTCCAGAAATAACAGTCAGAAGGTGTACCTATAATATATCACTGGAAAGCTGAGAATTTAAAGAGAAAAAAAATCATATCAAATAAATAAAGTTGTGGAAGGTAACTGAGAGCAACAAAAAAAAATATAAATAATAATTTCAGAAAACTAACATTATCAAACGTAATTAACAAGTTTCCAAGGAAATAAAACTAAATTTTCTTACTAAATGTAAAACTTAAATTTTTTTAAGTTTGAAAAAAAAACATTCAAAATTCACCGAATCAAGCCCATATCATTGTTTAAAATACAATTTTATTGTATTTGTGTGAAAGAAGAAGTGAAATCTAAAAATATTTCATGGATGTGTTAATAATCTTACTATAGTTTATTAACTGTAGATAGAATATTATATTTAAATGATTAGGTATCTATTGGCCATAGAAAATTAAATGAGTGAATAATTTGATGAATTTTCTCTTAGTGAAATCCCAACGTTATCCACTTACAATTAGTGTGACAACTTTTGACCTATCCATGGCAGACAATAAAAATCTCACAATTTCTTTACAATGGAAAATAACAGTTTAATAATTAAACTATCGATAATCATGTATAAGTTAGATATTCAGATATACTTTCAAATCTCACTAGGCATATTAGCCTTCCGGTTGACAGAATGACTAACTCCAATTTAAACATTCTTTATTATTAATTTTAGTGATGTTTCTAGTGGCAAAATTTATATCTTTATTCACAGTTCTGTATTTCAACACTGCTATCATCTGCTCTGGAATCAACTTACTATCTGTATAAATATTTTTCCTAGATACTAGAAATATCACAAAAATATTATTTACTCATTGAGTTAGTCATTCTGTCAACTGAAAGGTCCAGGGACTAGAGTTATGTTGTTTATATAAGCAGATGGAGTAACTAGATTTTTATTGTCTACCATCGATTTAATATATAGACTTTGTAATTTTAATGGTAAGGTTTTTGAAAATAAAGTATTGCGTAGAATATTCGGACCGAAGAAGGATGAGTTAACCGGAGAGTTCAGACGGTTACACAACGCCGAATTGCGTGAGATGTATCCGGGTAATATAATTGAGGTAATTTCATCGCGGCGAATCAAATGGGCTTGTAAAGTTGTTGGGCTTAGTAACGAGAGAATTCCTAAAAGGTTAATATTTTCTGTGCCGAATGGTAAGCGTCCGAGGGGAAGACCGAAGCGAAGGTGGGGAGATTGCATTAAAGCCGATCTGAAGAGACTGGGTTTGGACGGCGAACGGTGGAGGGAGGTGTGTAACAAGCGATTGGTGGTGTCGGCATCGAACCTTCGGGTTCGCTAAGCCTTATTATTATTATTAATTTTAATGGTCTGAATAATTTGTTATCTTTAAGGTTTAGCTCCATTTAAAGTGACTTCAAAAATTGTGTAATAGCCCAATATTGCCAGAAAATAATTTTTATTCAAAGTAAAGCGGTGAGTGAAAGTAATGTGTTGTGCGCACCAGAATTTTTATCAAAAAGTTATCAACGAATTTTTACCACCAGAAAGTTATCAAATTTGTCTTATACCGATATATTTTATGGAAGATCATTATATTACGTTTATTCTCATGAAGCTCTTGGATTTTAATTTATGTATGTTTTATGGTTCAGTACTTTATTTTTTGACTTCTCAATTTTTATTTTATTTTTTTCAGATGTATAGATTACCCACTCTGCTGAAGAATTGTGCAAGTGCTAGGACATTGCTAGCACGAGGTTATGCTAAAGATGTAAGATTTGGTCCTGAAGTAAGGGGTTTAATGCTTCAGGGAGTAGATATCCTAGCTGATGCAGTTGCCGTGACAATGGGGCCAAAGGTATTGGAATCCTTATTTTATTTAAGATAACATTAAATTTACGTAAAACTCCTTGTTTAAAGGTCTTTATTACTTATATACTTATGCCATATTTTTGTAGGGGCGAAATGTGATTCTCGAACAATCCTGGGGCTCTCCTAAAATTACCAAAGATGGTGTCACGGTAGCAAAAGGAGTTGAGCTGAAAGATAAGTTCCAAAACATTGGAGCTAAATTGGTGCAGGATGTAGCAAATAATACTAATGAAGAAGCTGGAGATGGTACCACCACTGCAACTGTCAGTTTCCAAAACATATTTTTGATTTTTCAGTCATATGTTTACTTCCATGTTCCTTACACAGTTTATTTTATTTACAGGTCCTTGCCAGGGCCATTGCTAAGGAAGGTTTTGAAAAAATTAGCAAAGGTGCAAATCCCATCGAAATCCGAAGGGGTATGTATCTTTATTTTATAATTGTAGGTTTAAATGGCACTGCTTGACTTTTAACTCAAACTCATTCACTACTAAAAATTGTATTTTTGATGTCTTCATTTTATTAGAAATTTAAGTTATATTTAATAAATGCACGTCACGTACACAACACTAAACAGATTGATTTTAAGCCTTGTTTGTAAAATATAATTTATATAACAATAATAAAAGACTTAGCGAACCCGAAGGTTCGGTGTCGACACCAACAATCACTTATTACACACCTCCCATATAATTTATTTACACAACACAAATTAGTAATACATTCCTTAAAATGCAGAATTGTTCGATTCACATTACTGATGACTAGTGATTCACACCATAACTAACTGGAGATAATAAAAATATTTACAGTACAGCTTTCATATTTTAAAGCATATTTTATCACCTTCAAAAAATCTTTATTTCTTCAATAATAATTTTTTTTTACTCTTTCTATGAAATTTATTTGACTACCATTATTTACTACTTGTTCAATCTGTTGATAGGTGTGATGTTAGCTGTCGATGTTATTAAAGACCACTTGAAGGCATTGTCTAAACCAGTCACTACTCCTGAAGAAATAGCCCAAGTTGCCACTATTTCAGCCAATGGTGATAGAGCTATTGGCGATCTTATTTCAGCTGCTATGAAGAAGGTGAGTGTGATTGTTAATGTATAAGTTCATGTTATTTACTTAATCATTAATTTATTATGATGATACCCTAATCCATTCACTGACGGAGGATTATTTGTGAAAATCAGGTTTTCTGGTTTTTACATATTTTTTCTCTTGTCCATGATTTAATTTGGGTCTGAAATTTATAATATTTTTACATTCTTGTAGACTTGTGGTTGTTAGTAAGGTGGTTTAATTTTTCTCATTAAATTTTTAGGTCGGAAAGGAAGGTGTCATTACTGTCAAAGATGGGAAAACTTTGAATGATGAATTGGAAGTCATTGAGGGAATGAAATTTGACCGTGGATATATTTCACCATATTTCATTAATACTGCCAAAGGTACATTTTGACTTAAATAAATTTGTTTTATTATTTTTCCAAAAGGATAAATCATGGTTAGTGACTTTTTTTTATTTTTTATTCAGGTGCCAAAGTTGAATTTCAAGACTGTCTGTTATTACTTTCTGAAAAGAAGATTTCTTCTGTCCAAAGTATTATTCCAGCTTTGGAGTACGCTAATTCTAAGAGGAAACCTCTTGTTATAGTTGCTGAAGATATTGATGGTGAAGCTTTATCAACTTTAGTTGTCAACAGGTAAACTTATAATTTATAACAAAGTCATTAGTCATCAATCAATTAATACATTTTTAACTACTATGTGATGATGACCAAATCCATTCAATGACGATGATAATGTCTTAACAGCAGTCGTGACTTCAGACAGTGTCTTGCCCCTGGTCAATTATCAAAGTATTCATATGAATCCATTTTAGTGTTTCTATTAAGTTATTCTTATGCATTAATCCATTTTTGATTACTGTGTGATGATGACCAAATCCATTCAATGAAGATGATAATGTTTTTGAATTAACCAGGTTTTCTGGTTCTTTCATTTCTTATCATCTGCTAAAGATTTAATTTTGGTTCTGATAGTAATTTTCTCCTTTAAGTAATACAGTATTATTTTTTAAAAAAGGCATTCATAAATTTTGTTAACTTATATTTTAATATATTTCCATGATTGACTATTACTTAATTAATCTCTAATTATCTTACTAAGCCATTTTTAAGGTAGGAATTATATAGGTTGATGTTCACATGCCACACAAAACCATTGAATAGTGTCATATCTATGTATTTATTTGTTTTGTTTTTTCTCCATGCGTACATTCATCATATAGAGTATTTTAAATATTTTTAATTTTGTGAGACCAAAGTTAAAGAAGTATTGAGATTATCAGTTATTTCACAATGTAGTTAACAGCAGTCGTGGCTTTAGACAGTGTCTTGTCCCTGGTCAATTATTAAAGTATTCATATGAATCCATTTAAGTGTTTCTATTAAGTTATTCTTATACATTTATCCAATTTTGATTACTGTGTGATGATGACCAAATCCATTCAATGAAGATGATAATGTTTTTGAATTAACCAGGTTTTCTGGTTCTTTCATTTCTTATCATCTGCTAATGATTTAATTTTGGTTCTGATAGTAATTTCCCCCTTAAAGTCAATTTTTTTTTCTCTTGACGGAATGCACTGTGGCCACATTTTGAAGGCCTATTGTACATCGTTCTAAACTCAAAACAGGCCAGATGGCTTTGCGAACTTGTTGGCAGCACTTGGGATCCCTGATATCACATCTACAAATAATGTAATAGGCTGTTTCATCCTCCAGGACACACAGCCTGCAGAGGGCAGTCTCGCTTAACCAAAATGAAAGAGGTGGTTATTCAGTCGACAGTGACGAGTTTACAGTCCTGTCACATACCTAATGATGCTCCTGCCCATTAAAAGAACTGATCTGATTTACTTTTCTTATTACAGGGCCCAATTAGGAACAACTTAAAATGGGTTTGTTTCCTAGTCTGTTCCCAATGTAGCCTAAATTTATTATCCACGATTGCCTTAATATATCATTTGGTGCAGCCAACGCTTATCTCACAAATGGGCTCTGATTCAACCGGTTCTTGTTTACCTAATTATCTGAAATGTCTCTCACCTTTGTTGGCAGTACAGAGAAGGTTCAGATTGCCTTAATATTTATCTAACAATTTGGAGCGGGTTGCATAACTATTCAGAGCCCCAATTTCCGCTTGACTATTTGTATCTATTGTTATCAATCATAATGTCTTCCCTTATAAGTGATTGAGCACAGAAATTGATAGCTAAAATCTCGTCCTGAAAGACAGACGTATGTCCACCTAGAGATATGAATATTCCCTTATTAAATTTATCCTCTCTCCAGACGCCAGCCACTGATCCTTCCTCCATCAAGGACCCATCGGTATAACAGTTAACTCCATTGCAAGGTCTATAAGTGTTTAGTTTTTCTATTAAGTTATTCTTATGCATTAATCCGTTTTTGATTACTGAGTGATGATGACCAAATCCATTCAATGAAGGTGATAATGTTTTTGAATTAACCAGGTTTTCTGGTTCTTTCATTTCTTATCATCTGCTAATGATTTAATTTTGGTTCTGATAGTAATTTCCCTCTTAAAGTAATATATTTTTTTTAATATACAATGTTCTCTATTTATTAATATTTTAGCTTTTAATTTAAAAGCTCAATGATTAACAAGCGCATAATTCTTCTCTAATTAACTAATAAAACCATTGAGTATTCTCGTACCTTTATTTGTTTGTTGTTCTTTTTTTTGTCCATTCATCCATTCAGCATCTTGAGTTTTAAAAATATTTTTAATTTTATAAGACCAGAATTAGAGAAATGTTGAGATTATTAGTTATTTCACTATATAGTTTTATAAAGAAAAAAACCTAGGAGAACAGTAGTAGTAAGACATTTGACATGGTGCCCCCGGGCAATTACAAAAACCTCTATTACAATTATTACATGCAATTTTCTCTCTCTCTCCCAAAAAAAACAAAAATAATATAATTTAGAAGGTGGGATTGCAATATAGGTGAAGAACATTTAAGTGCGAAGGAGTTAATCGGGGGGAGGGGAGGGGGGGGGCTGCGGTCAAATTAATACAAAATTAAATAAGTAGAACTATTTAATTTTTGCCGACGTTTCGACCATCGAAGAACATTTAAGATTACTACAGGTTTAGATTCTATTTATTTCAACATGGATCTTATTTAGTTCCATTATTAATAGTTTCTAATTTTTTATAATCCCAACATAATGCGGGCGCCCACTGGTGTGATTATCTTGCCCTCGGACTGGTCTGTGATATAGTCCATGGTACAGACCCTTTTTTATCAAGTTATTAACATCCGGCTGATACTTCGTAAATTGCTTCATCTTGTAGCCTACAAATATTTTATTTATGAAAATTCTCGGAATTAAAGCGTTTTCAACTTTGTCTATTTCATTAGGTACTTAAAACTCGTAATTACCCATTTGTTTTCCACTTAAATCTGCTATTTAATTAGGTACTTAAAACTCGTAATTACCCATTTGTTTTCCACTTAAATCTGCTATTTAATTAGGTACTTAAAACTCGTAATTACCCATTTGTTTTCCACTTAAATCGTAAGATAACTTGAGCACATAGTCGAGAAAAAAGGTTCCCTTCAAAAATATTGAGCTGTTAGGCATGACCTTCACCCCCAAATTGTCAAAATGACGAGATAATATAGGCCAAACAGCTCAATATTTTTGTAGCCCACCCTTTTTTTTTTTTTTTTTTTTTTTATAAAATTAACTTATGAACCAAGTGGAAAGGAAATTTGTATTTACGGGTTTTTAGTACCTAATTAAATAGACGAAGTTTGTCAAGCTCCAGATTGAAAATGCCCCAATTTTCAGAATTTTCGTAAATCAAATATTTGTAGATTACGATGAGATGAAGTTATTAACAAAGTTTCAGCTGGATATTAATAATTTGATAAAAACGGGTCTTTACCACGGACTAGTAGCATTAAGTCCAATATTCCACCTTAATTTTTTTTTTTTTTAACATTTTGGTTTGTTTAACATTCTTTCAACTGTTTGCATAGGTTCCGGGTGTTAATTTTAAATTAATATTTTACAAAGAAGATTGCATGCCCTAAAGTTGTTTAACTATACAAAGTGATGTGGTCAGTATCCACTCTCGACTTCTACATTTTCCCTAATCCTAGTCTATGTGGCTGTTAATTAAAAAATAAAAATGATTTGCCTATTTTGAACTTGTTTAAACCTATGCCCAAAAGTTCAGTGCTTTACCTTAGCAATCAAGATTATAATTATTTCATCTGATTGATTGGTTGAAATTCTTTTAGTTGATTAATTTCCCCATCTTAATATTTAAGGTCTTTTAAAAAGATCCTGTCCAAAACCTAAATCCCTGAGATCAAACTATGGTATCATTCCTACCCAACCTGATTGTCTTTTAATATTCCCCTTCCTGCCCCCCTCATAGACCTGAAACCCTTTCCTTCTTTTATCATCAGTATATTAATAATAATTATTATTTTTTTCTAAGGTTGAAAATAGGTCTTCAAGTTGCTGCAGTAAAGGCTCCTGGATTTGGTGATAATAGGAAGGCCACACTTCAGGATATAGCTATTGCTACAGGTACTTTTTCATCAAGTATTGTATTGCCTTAAAACAGTTTTTGAATCATTGTATGTTAAAAGAAACTAACTCTGAAAACATAACTTTTCAGAAAGATAGAGCCATGACATTTCTCCCTTAACACTAATCATACCAAGACTTAATATATACCTATTTCTACCATAGCGGGTCAAATGACCCGACTTTATGTTTCATGCTTAAATGTATGAAATATGGATGTTAAGAAGGAAATAAAAATATAAATTAAATTTATTATGATTAAACAAAATAGTATGTTGAGCATTTCTATTACAAAAGCAAAAAATAAAAACTTTCAATTCATAGTTCATCGCAGTGGTGCTCTTCCAGGTGTGCCACCTACTTGCATTTGTTGCCAAACAGATCCATCATTCGCAACATTTTCTTCATTTATTTCTACTTCACTTTCTTCCGAACTTGTGAGTAATCTTATTCTTTTTCGGCCACTACATACATTCACAATATTTTCCTCTTCATCGTCAGTATCTATCTGTAGAATCAAACTCATTTTTATTTGCAACCGATATATCTTCATTTTCAGAAAATTCATCTTCACTAATTTCTGAAAACTCTTCGCCAATATTATTTATATCTTCTAAGAACTTGTACTGTCTTGTTTGCTTCGACATTTTTCTGGGTAAAAAATGATCTGTATTACTATAGCTATCAAAATAAAACATAAGCTAGGTGCTTACCAAGACTTTCAATTTTTGCCACTTTTTCTTACACTAAAAAGCTATTTTCAATCTAAAATTTGATATTTTTTCTAAAATTCTCTCCGGGTCAAATGACCTGTTGTGGTAGATATCGGTATACAACAAGGATTACTCAGAATAAACAAAACAAAAATATTTTTATAACTGTACATTAATTACTTAGAAAAAGTCATGAAGTCAAATGTGCAAACGCAATAAAATTATACGTGCATTTTTAATGGAAAAGTTCAAAAGGTCATTTGACCCGTTATGGTATGTTTAGTGTTAAAATACGATAAAGGAATCTTTCTCTCCTAAATTCTTAATTATAAAAAATTTTCCTATTTCAACTCTTTTAAAAAGTTAACTTTCCTTTGTCTCTTTCTGCCCCAAAATCATAAATTTTAATATAAATAACTATTAAACCAGTTATTTCACAGACGAAAAATATGATTATCAGAATAATTGAAGTAATAAATGTATATTCAATTAAAATATTATAATAACCTTATATAGTTTTAAAAGTAATATCTTACGTTTTAAAAAAATTAATAATGTATGAAAGGGAGAAAAATGTTACTCATCTTTTTCTTATTTTTTAGCTGTTCAACTTAACAAAAAAATCTCTATATTAGTTGCCTTCTAACTAAAATAACGTATTTACTAGGTTCTACTCTTCAAATATTTCAATTGGCTGTTCTTAAAAATTGTAAAAACAGTTACAAATAATTAAATAAAAGAAATCGTAACAGTTATTTGACATTTTTGATTTCCTGTGGCAGCCCCGCTTGAAGTTAAAACTACATTTTCCTGTTGTAAACTTAGGTCAGCATTCGTTTTAAAGCTGTCCAACTCTTTTAGTAGTAAATCATATATAGGAGTACCTTACACAGTGTTTTTATAGGATCCCATTGTTAGTTTTTTTAATTGTACTGTTTTTTATGACTTATTTATTCTAACCCTTTTTTATGTTCAACAATAAAAGAAAGAGTAGAGATCAGCTACTTTAAAACATCTTCATTGTTATCTAAACTTTTAATCTAGGTGTTAGGTCTTATTTTCATTTTTTGCAGAAATATTCTTTCATGTCATCACTTCTGAAAGTTTATTTCTTCCACTATATGTTACTTAATATGTTGCTTAGTGTCGGTTAACTTGATAGTTAAAGTAATCTAATCTTTAAAAAAAATTCTGAAAATACAAATATTTCTGAAATTAAATTGTTATCTCTAGTTGTAAAATTGAAATAAGGTTATTGAATGTTTCTAACAATTTCTTATTTGCAGGTGGCATTGTCTTTGGCGATGAAGCTGACATGGTCAAACTGGAGGATGTGCAACCTTCTGATTTAGGTCAAGTTGGTGAGGTTGTGATAACTAAAGATGATACTCTCCTTCTCAAGGGTAAGGGCAAGCAGGCAGACATTGACAAAAGGGCCAATCAGCTAAGGGATCTTATTGCTGACACCACTTCTGACTACGAAAGGGAAAAGCTTCAGGAGCGTTTAGCTAGGCTGGCTTCTGGAGTAGCAGTACTGAAAGTTGGAGGTTCATCTGAGGTATGTTTTAAAGTTACATTTACTGAAAGCTATTTCAAAAATAATGATTTTGGTATTTATTTGATATGATTAATAATAAAAATGTATACGATGTGTCCACCATACCTTTAAAAGTGAGGGAAATTTAAAAATGGAAGAAGAGAGCATGATTTTGTTCTTATTGCTCAGAATTATTATTGATCACAAAAAGATTACATATATATAATATGACAAAAAAAAAGGTAATAAAATAATTTTTATTGAATATAATTTTCTATCGGAACTTTTAATTGTTGAGCACTGGTTTTACTAGCCTTTCATCTCTAACAAGATAAATATATAAAATATAAGTTACTTGCCCATTATTTGGCCATTATTAAACATAAATCCTACCATACTAGCTCAGGTGAGAAGGGTTTAGGTTGGATATTTTTATAAAGCAGCAAAAAAGGTTAAGAGATCTATTTGAAGAAAGAAATATTTACAGAATTGATACTATTTACAAGCAAAAAAAATTAAATAAAGGAAAAAGAGAATTTAAATATGATTACTATATACAATTAAAGATAACAAAAAAGATAATTATTCTATATATAATAGTATGGCATGCCATATATAAACATCAAGAATCGAAAGTCAAGATATAAGATATCAGAGCACTGCACATGCTAAAAGTCAAAATTAATAATTATTCACAGGAAACAAAAGAGAGAAAAGTTCTATTATTATTTTTTTTCAATGCTTCCTTAATCTTGGTTACAATTTATACATACATACGTGTTCTTCAATTTTTCTTGATAACCGATATCATTTACTTTTTCAATTGTTATTTTTTTTTTTTGGAAATTATATTCTTAAAAATATTTCTTTAAAAACTGTTTCTGTGCCAATAAAGGCAATATTTTTTTTATTTTTTTTTTACTATGTATGCAAAAAAGAGTGTTGATGATTTATTACTAACTTAATTTAAAGTCAGTATTAAAGATGATTGTTGATAGGCTGCATTCGTACTAACAATGAAACAACTAAATTCTTAATATAAATGTATAACAGTGAGTTTTCTTGTTGACTTTGATTTTTAAATTGTGTTTAAGTTTGGTAGATTATAATATAAGAAAGGAATTTTTTTTATCAATATTGAACATATGTTATTATTTCATATTCATGTTCGATTTAGCAGAAGGTTCTATTTTAATTTTAACAGATTTTATCGATAAAACAGCTTAAGGTTTTATTTCCTCAATCCATCACCTTACAAATGTATTGGTTGGTTCTATTACAACTATTTTGACTTGTAATATTTCCGCGAATGACTTAAAAAGGTAGGGAATTACATTTAAAGGTTTTAGTAGACATCATGTCTATAATATAAACATTTTATATTCTTCTAATCAGTTTAATTTTGAATTGCTTATAAATGCAATAGTATTGTATTTATTAAAAAAAGGTCTGTTTGTTTATTACATAGGTTGAAGTTAATGAGAAAAAGGATCGTGTCAATGATGCCCTTAACGCTACTCGTGCCGCTGTTGAGGAGGGTATTGTCCCAGGAGGTGGAACTGCCTTGCTCCGTTGTATTGCCAAACTTAATGAATTGAAAACAGCCAATGATGATCAAAAGACAGGTTAATTTTGTTTTTTAGTATATAATTTAAACATTAATTCTTATTTTATTGAAGTTACTTAAATTTTAAATAGGTGCAGTATTATTATTGATTATTAAACTAAAAATCATTAAGAATATGTTATGTTGGTGATTTATTAAAATGCTGGTTTATTTTTAGGTGTTGATATTGTGAGCAAAGCCCTGAGAATGCCCTGTATGACAATAGCCCAAAATGCTGGAGTTGACGCGGCAGTAGTCGTTAACAAAGTGCTCGATGGTGAAGGAGATATGGGCTATGATGCCATGAACAATGAATATGTTAACATGATTGAAAGGGGCATCATTGATCCAACCAAGGTAAGTGCTAATTCTTCTTGTTTATTTTTATCACATTGTAATTTTTGCTAGGAAAATAGTAGTTAAAAAGTTAAACCACATATAATGTTATTGTTTGTTGTCTATGAAATCCCACTTTATAAATTTACATGATACTGGATTACAAGATCGTTAGCATTATGTTTTGTAGAACATTATCATAGTTCTTTTTTTTTTTTTCAATCTTATCCTATTTTCTTTTGTTTACTCTGTGATCTTATTCATTCAAGACCAGGCCTGGCCAATACCCACAGCAAACAAATCTATCTTTATATATAATATGGTAGTATTTCGCAATGTAGGTCCCTTATCTGGCTCTCAGGAGCAATGGGTTTTGATGAATTAGGTATCGAAAAAAAGGGGGGATCATGGAGAAATGAAATGAAATGAAATGAAAAAAATGTTTTATTATTCTGGGACTGTTGTCCCTTAAGAACAAAATATGAATACAGATTATATGTCTGTGTGGCTACAATTGAATTGTATATTTACAATGAAAGTTGACTTACGATAAAAATACAGAAAAGAGAAAAAAAAGAACAAGTAAATTGTACATATGTATGATAAACTAAAATAACCTTAATAAATTGAGGTACTCTCTGGTGGTGCTCAGATATTTCTCTGAGATATATTTCACATTCATTCGGATTGAGAAAGGAGTAGGTGCTTAAAGAGGAGTGGTTTAAACGAGGAAACTGATAGAGCGTGTCGAATATCAGGTGGGATGGAATTCCAGAGGGAGGCGGCTTGTATTGCAAAGGATTTGTCAAACGCAGCAGTTCGGTGAGGAGGAGGATAGAGGTCGGAAGTACGAGATCTGGTGGGACGGGATTGGATGGAATATTTGAATTGTAAGCTGTGAAAAATGTAGGAGGGTCGATGGGTTCTAATAATTTGGTACAGAAAGGTGGCTAGGAAGTACTGACGGCGATAGGATGGGTAGAGCCACCTCAACTCAGTGTAATACTGGGTAATATGCGTATCCCTTGAGATTCCGAAAACAAATCGTAGTGCGCAATTCATTAGGCGTTTAAGTTTGGCCTCGGAATCTCCCGGGAGTCCACCGTACACCATACAGCCGTAGTCGAAGTGGGGGAAAACAAGGGAGGAAACTAGGAGTTGACGGGACTTATATGGAAGGAGATATCGTAGACGATTGAACTGTTTTAGGGTGGAGATAGTGCGACGGGAAATTTGGGAGATGTGAGGTTTCCAGGATAGGGATTGATCGAAAGTAACACCTAGGTTTTTAACGGTGGTGTAGAATAAGATAGGTGAGTTGTTCAGGAAGAGACTGGGAGATACTGGGGAGGATTTGAGGAGTGAAGGGGATCCGATCAAGATGGCTTTTGTCTTCTCGGCGTTCAGAGTGAGCCTATTGAGGTTTGCCCAAGCACTTATTCTGTCAATATCTTCCTGAAGTTTTTGAGTGGCATCTGAGATATCTGTCGGATTAAAGGAGAGGTAAATTTGAATGTCGTCGGCATACAGGTGGTAATGACAGTGCAGGATAGAGGATGGGAGGTCATTTATATAGATGGAGAAAAGGGTGGGGGATAAGGAAGAGCCTTGTGGGACGCCTCTGGTCAGAGGTAGAGATTCTGATGGTGGGTTATTAGGAATTACAACGTACTGGGAGCGACCGGTTAGGAAGGATTGGAACCAATTAAGGGAACTAGAAGAAAAAGAGATATTTTTAAGTTTGGTTAGGAGGATGTTGTGGTCTACTGAATCAAAAGCTTTGGAGAAGTCTAGGAGAATAAGGATGGTTAGTTTCTGCTGATCTATGGCTGTGTGAAGGTCTTGGGAAATTTTGATTAGGGCAGACTGAGTAGAATAACCAGGCCTGAATCCAGACTGGTAGGGATTTAGGAGATTATTGTCCTCTAAAAAATGGGATAGCTGGGATTGGACTAACCGCTCTAGTGGTTTTGAGAGGTTTGAAAGGAGGGAAATCGGTCGGAAATCATTAGGAACTGATGGGTTTGAAGTCTTCTTCAATGGGCGTACTAGGGCGGTTTTCCAGGATGTAGGGAAGGTAGCATTTTGAAGAGAATAATTGTATATATGATAAAGGATCGGAAGAATGGATGGCAATGCGGCTTTAATCAGTCTGACTGGGATGTTGTCGGGACCGTAATCATTGGTATGGGACTTCTGAATGGATTTAAGGAGCTCATCTGGTGTAATATGGGAAAGAAAGAAGTGATCAGGATTAAAGGAAGAGAACATAGGAGCCAGACTGGACGTGGGAGATGTGGATGCAAGAGGACAGGAGACAAAGTGAGCGTTGAGGTTATCAGCAGAAACGGAATTGGACTGAGACTGGGGTGTATTACCAATGGTCAGTTTTCTAAGAATAGCCCACGTAGCCTTGGTATTGGGCGAGTTGGATAGGGAATGATGGTAGTAACGGGATTTAGCGCGGCGTACTGCTGATTGAGTGCTATTTCGAAGCTGTTTGTAGGAGAGAAAATCATCAGGAAGTCGAGTTCGTTTAAACCGTCGCCTTGCAGCATCTCTTTCTCTCATACACTCCCTCAAAGCAGGGGTAAGCCAAGGAGCTGGAGGATATCGGATGGTTTTTGTGATAAGAGGAGCATGTCGGTCGAGGATAGAGTGAAGTTGAGTGGTTAGGATTTCTACCATGGTGTCTATGGATTTTGAGGAGTAGATGGGATCCCACTGGATATCGTCAAGACCTTCTGACAATGTTTCGTGAGTGAGATAATCTAGGTTTCGGAAGGATATTGTTCGGGGAGAAAAGGATGGAACAGGGACATTGTAAGAGATCTGGACAAGATCGTGGGAAGATAGAAACGGAACCGGGTGCTGAGATGCGGCAAGGAGTTTGTCTGAGGAATCCAGGATAATTAGATCGAGCCAGGACTCTGAATACTGAGTATGATGGGTTGGATTGTAGGGTACTATGTAAAGGCTGAGAGAATTAAAGAGGTTTGTTAGGTAGGAATAATCAGAGGATGGTGCCAGTAAATTGGTGTTAAAGTCACCGGAGAGGATGATGTTTGAGTAGGAAGGGATTAAGTTGTACAATAAAGTCTCAAGTGATTCATCGAAAGGAATTCTAGGAGGGCGATATATGACAGCAAACAGAATGGCAGATGAGGTGGTGAGGATTTCGGCGAAAAGGTATTCAACGTGCGGAGAATCGGTTATGGAAGAGCAGTGAAGAATTTTGGATTTGAGACTGTCATGGACAAAGAGACCTACTCCACCACCCGTGCGATCTACTCTGTCATGACGAAGGAGAGTATAGTTAGGTAGAAGGATCTGGGAGGACGGGATTGTGGGTTTCAACCAGGTTTCGGATACGGCAATTAAATGGTAGAAGTTATGGAGAAAAAAGTCGTAAAATTCATCAAAATGGGCTAAGAGTGACTGAGCGTTGACGTGGCAGGTTAGAAGGATATTAGTCATGGAAGAAGGAGGGGTGGCTTGGTAAACGGACAGAAGGAGTTAAGGATAGGAATATTTCTACAGCAGCTAGAGCCAATTGTGTGCAAGATCTCCTAGATATTAATAAGGATGGTAAACAAAAAATATAAAATTTAGTTAACGAAAAGCATATTCCTATTGTGCAAAAGAAAAAAAATACACAAATTAGAGTTTCTGGACAGATCAGACCTAAAATATTCTCATAAACAAAAATGAAATTATTATCATAGTCTATTATTAAAACAAACGCAACAAAAACATAAAACTGGGGATATAAAAAAGTAAAAACAAAATTGTTCAAAGTGTTGTAACATGTATATGCATGTCAAGCAAACGTTTCTAAATCTGATGGTGAGTTGATGACGACGACCTGCTGTCCATCGTCTCGTCGACATTTCACCTTGCCTGCGCTAAACCAACTGTACCTGATTTTTCCTGCAGACCTCTTTTGCCGGGCCAGCCAGTACAGGTGTCTGTTGGTTACGGACATAGCTTCGCTCAGGTAGATCTTGTGGGCGTCATTTTCTTGCCATCCGAGGTGACGTGTTGAAAAATCCCTAATGACTTTTCGCCTCTGGATCAACTCATCCCTAAGCGACTGCCGGACGAACCTTACCACAAGCGGCCCAGGTGTATCGTCTTGCCTGTTTCTTATCCGTTCTGCATAGTCAATGTCCTCCACCTTTAGACTAAGGCCCAGGCCCGCCCCCACGCTCATAACCAGGCCCATCGGGGTCTCTCCAGATCTCACTGGGACTCCTCTTATTTCTATTGACCTGGAAAGGTGCAGTTGCTCACTTTTATTGAGCCTGATTTCGAGCTCCGAGCCCCGAGACTTGAGAGTCGTGTTTTCCAAGACCAGTCCGTCAATCTTGGAATTTTGAGCCTCCAGTAGTGACTCTATAGAGTCTAATTTCGCCGCATTCTCAAAAGTTATGGATGCTTGCTTTTCGAGAGATATTTTTAATTCTTTCACCTCGTTAGCATTGGCATCGAGGGAGAATTTTAATCCCTTGACCTCTTCTGTTAAAATTTTAATGGCAGCAAGCAACAGTTGGGACGTGCTGTCGACAGTTTGTTGTTGTGGCGCCGATCTTGGCGGGCTGAGACACTTGTCTGTCGGTTGGATATTTTTCCGTGCCTTTTCACATTTCGGGCATTCCCAATTTTTTCGTAATGCCCTCAGTGCTTCAAACTCACTCTCGTCTGCGTTTAGACATTTTCCATGGAAAATGGCTTGACATGTTGGGACAGTGCATGCCATTGTTTTTTTTTCTTCTCTTGCTATGGTCTGTTTACAGATTGGGCATAAAACCATCTTGATAAGCGAGAGAAAAGAAGAAAGAGAAAAAAAAAATTACGTAAGTAACGTGGTAAAAAAATTGACGTTAACCCAACCTCGTCACTGGAAACACTGAGTGTGACTGAGAAGTGACAAATAATGTTCTTGTCCCTTCCGAAATATCAAGAAAAATTTCAGTTATGTATTTAAAGAATCTTTATTTGCGAATAACTCAAAAAGTGTATTATTTTTTCCCCTATTGCATCAAAGGTTATTTGAAAAATGACTATATTCTCAACAAAACAAAAAATTGAAATCAGAACGTTTTTAGCAAAGATACAGCCTATGGTAATGTATGCATGTGCTCTTTTCTACTTTAAACACACCAGTTAATTTTCAAAGATCTGGATTAAAATATCTCAGAAACTAGAAATCGGACCTGCATACTGTAAGCGAGGTATATGTTTCAGCATTTCATTCTCTTTGTAATAAAATATTATTAAGAATTGTATCTTAACGAGAGACCATGACAGAGACGAAAAGAAAAAAATGGTGTCGAAAACCAACTGATAACAAGTTTTATTGAAGATATGTTTTAAAATATAGAGAAGGTAATAAGAGCAACATCACAGGAATATTGTAGGGTTCATGTCGGAATGAATCATAAAATCCTTGGATACGCAGATGATATAGATGTCTTCGGAAGTAATTAAGAAGACGTTGAGAAACTTGTTACAACACTGATAAGAGAGGCAGAGCAGATCGGCCTACAAGTAAATGAAGACAATAAAATATATATATGATAAGCCGAAAATTCCACTCCAATAACAGGATCTGTGTAGAAGGAAAATCATTCCCGAGAGTAGAAAAATTCAATTACCTCGGTCGGCTCCACAATAATCTCAATTAATGATTAACAGGCAGAAATATAGCAGCGTATAACCATCACAAACAGAGCTTTCTTCTACCTCTCAAAGCTATTGAAATCCCGAATGTCAAACTAAGGGTGTACAATGCTATGATAATGCCAGTTATAATATATGGCTATGAAACCTGGATACTAACCAGCACCCTAGAAAAAAGTGATGAAAGATTTGAGAGGAAAATTACCTGTATGATAATTGGAGCGATCTAGGATCAGAGCACTAACACATGGAAAAGAAAGACCGACAATAAAACTACTTACAGAAACTGGTCAATCAATGTCTCGTAATTTGAAGGCATGGAGGTTAAGATGGGTGGTGCATATAGCTTATAGCAATCCATCCGGAAGCCATTGTTTTGTAATAGTTCACTGACCAATATAGTACGCGAATTATTCGCACAGGCTAAGTAATAAATAATATAATTTTTACTTTTATCATAAGGTTAATATTTGCTGTACCGAATGGTAAACGTCCGAGATTGCATTAAGCCGATCTGAAGGGTCTAGGTTTGGACAGCGAACGTTAGAGGGAGGGGAGGTGTGTAATGAGTGATTGGTAGTGGTGGCATCGAATCTTCGGGTTCGCTAAGCCTTTTATTATTATTACTTTTTTCATATAATATAATATTTTTTCATATAACATGGCCTTTAAAGAAGCGTTCTTGAGTCTGAAAAACTTGAAAGGTTCCAACCTAATTTTCTCTCATTTTGCCTGCACTGATACACTGCCTGTTTCATGGCTTTTTTATGTTTTAACGTTAATTGGAGTATTGACCTTATAGATTCTAATTTTGCTAGATGGTTTATTAATAAGAACTCTTGTTACTAATGATGATAATAGAACCACTTATTTCTGACACCTCTTATGAACCATTGTGATTTGGTTTTATATCTGATAAATTCAACAAAAGTTTATGTTATGGCACATATACATTAAGTTAACTCAATGCAATTTCATTAGTTGTATTGAATTTTGGCAGGTTGTGAGGACAGCATTGACAGACGCAGCTGGAGTAGCTTCACTTCTCACCACAGCTGAAGCTGTCGTGGCCGAAATTCCAGCTAAGGAACCTGCTCTTCCTGGTGGTGGCATGGGAGGAATGGGTGGTATGGGCGGCATGGGAGGAATGGGTGGTATGATGTAAAAAGACTGGACGAGGGGAGCTAAGAAAGGCTTGGCTAGGAGAAGTGGATCTTTGTCAACTGTTTTCAAATTAGCAACCATCTTTTACTGACAGTCCTTTAGCTATTTAAAGTCTCAAGACATTGTACTTAGTGTAACATTAAAGCATTGTATTACTATTTGTCTGAAGTGGAAAATTAGTCAAATACATTCCACATTAAATTTTATATTAAACCTGATATCTTAATTTAAAATTATGTATGTTGTAATTGTTTAAGAACAATTATTTTGAGATATTTCTATGACAAATATTTATTTTTCAATATTTATGTTGTTGGTTTTTTCATTGTTATAAGTAACTTCTTTTTTTCTTGTAATATTAAAAGTTACTATGAACAGAAAAGGCTGTCAGAATCAGATGTTTTTTAAAGGACTTGTTGATTAGTTTCTTCTCCTGCCTCAATGTTGATGGGCCTGGAGTTCACAGAGGACTGTATAGCAGCGTTATGTGAAACCTCTAACCGGCACATAATGTAGTCAAGTTGATTAGTTTGTAGTTGTTAATGTTTATAACTTTATGTTTATTTTTTAATGTTAATTTTGTATATTATACAAAGATACAAAAAAGTCTGTATAGCTTTAAGGTTCATTTTTCTACTTTTGTTTAGTTTTTCTTTTTTTTTATTATAGATTTTTCTATGTACAAATGTATGTTTATGTTGAATTGAGAAATTGTTGATACCAGTGAAAGTTTTATATCAAAAACTATAAAATTAAAAAATAATAAAATTGCATTCATAATTATTGATTTTTTTTTTTTAACTTATAAGGATTTTTACCTTTCTCGCTTGGATACCCATACAGCATTATATTTTCTTTTATACAAGTTTTTTAAACAAAAACTATTAATTATTAAATAAGAACCTATATAAAACATTGAGAATTGGACATTATATTCCTGAATAATACAGTAATACGTTGGATATTATTCATTATTCCCATAGCTAATATGATTCTCATATTCTCCTCTAGAGGTTGAAAAAGATCTTTACAAGTTTATACATCACGAAGGTGGTGATGTATATTTGTATGTTCTGCTTCAATTGATTTTAATGTTATTATTGAATAAAACCAATTAATAAGGTTCGTGACCTTACAATATAAGTAAGATTTTTTTAAAGATGTTAATTCTGTAACGAATATGTTAAAGTAATGAATTATTGTTACTTTAAAGTGTTGTCAATTTTAACGACAAAAAAAAATGCTGTGTATTACTTATTTTAGTTCTATTTAAAAACAGGAATACTAATTCGTTCGGGATAATTGCTACTTCAAATCCATAATCACAGTAAGTCTATATTAACTTAATTATTACTGAAACCCTATTTTATTGGTGTTAGTTTTTAAATCTGAGTTCTCTGTTTTCCAGGTTTGTAATTTGGAAGGTTCAAGGATTTTGATAATGAAAATTATATTATTCTTTGTCTGGATTTTCATTTTCTCAGAAAAAGGTAACTACTAAATAATACTGTACTATTTTAGAAGTGTTAAAAAATAATATATTAACCCATTAGTCCAGAATACTGGATTCAAGACCCTCAATGCAATTATTGCCATTCTATAGGAGCCCTCACATAGCCAATATTTGTCAGTATTATTGGGTTGTCTGGAAAATAATGCAGGATTTTAAGTTTTCTTTAAAATAACCCTCTATATAACAAATTGTTTACATTTACTGAATTATTCATTTGCATGAATGTGAACACTTACTTATTAACCCTCTTCCAAATGATAATGTTTATATACCTCTATAGCATTTCGCTGATTAGAAATAATTTAGCCTTTACTAAGATGTCAATGCGTAATTTTTGTATAATTTTGTTTCACGAGTTTAAACTCAGCCAGATGGGCACAAACATCAATCAAGTCTGGAATGAGAATAGCATTAATAAGTGCATTGTTCAACGATGGTTCAGAAAATTTTTGGTGGGTGACTTCATTCATCCTTCAAGACAGAAGCTCATGAAAGGATTTCATCTCTTGATGTCAATGTTCTGCGGGCTTTGGTGGCAGAAAACTCCAGAACAACTGTTCGAGAACTTGCAGGGAAGCTTAACCTTAGCAAATCTACTGTTGATGGCCACCTGAAGGCTCAAGGATTGGAAGGTAAAAAATCTTGAAAGTTGGGTTCCACACACATTAAACGATCGCTAAAAAAAAAATAGCTTTATGAAGTTATTGCTTCACTTCTTTGTCCTTTTCTATCCAGAATGGTTACTTGTGATAAAAAGTGGATACTCTATGATAACACAAGAACATTTTCCAAAGCATCCCAAAAAAGGTAATTGTTACTGTTTAGTGGGATTTGGTACACTAAAGCTTCTTAAATTCTGAAGAAATTGGCAGTAATAAAGCAATCTTTGGTCAATCAGAAGGACCCATTTTGTTGCATGACAACATTCGGCCACATGTCTCATGTGTGACATCATAAAAACTGTTGGAGCTTGGATATGAAACTCTGCCACATCCATCCTACTCTCCGGTTCTCTCTTCTATGGATCATAATTATTTTAGACGCCTGGACAACTACTCACTTGACAAAAAAATTAATGGACAAAGGGAATTAAAAGATAAGTTTTTGGAGTTAATCAATTCTAAAGATGGGAAATTCTGTTGCGAGAAAATGGAAAAGTTGGCAACACATTAGTAGAAATGTATTTATAGTAGTGGAGACTATGTTAATTAAATAAATCATGTATAAATATTTTTTTTTAACCAAAATTCTGCATTATTTTTCGGACAACCCAATAAAATACTGAAAGTTTTATTAACCTTGTTTGTAAACAGATAAAAGGGGGTGGTAATTTTTTTATAAGATTTATTTTTAAGTAAATTAAAAGATATTTGTTACTCCTTTTGATAGGCCTTAATTTGAGGTGAAGCTCACAACTTTGCCCCTTTTTTTTTCATATTTCTGCAAGGGATCTTGGTTTAATAATCAAACAGTTACAAAATATTCTCTTTTTTAATTATAACACATATACAGCTACAGCAGAACATTTTAAATGTATGTGTTGACGAAAAAATTATATTATTTTTCTTTTAATTTTTTTCATCATAATGTAATATTTTTTCATAGACAAAAAACATTATTTGTGAATTTTATTGTTCATATGCTTATATAAAAAGTAAAATTTTTGTTACTTCAGAACAATGGGCTAATAAATATCGAATATCTGCCAGAATAAATTCTTTATAAGCTAATAAAAGTTTTTTATACTCAGTAAAAGTCCTTAAAACTTATATTTTTTTTCGAATTTCAGCAAATGTTGTTCTGTCTAATAAAGAGTTTAATATCATTAGGGAATCTGTGAATAGTGATAAGTAAGGCCTGGATTTATAGGCATATATATATATATATATATATATATATATATACACACATTTAAATTGAGTATATCATCATGAAACAAGTCTTTCTAAATTAATTGAAAAAGTTTTATATACTGCATATTTTGCCAAAATTGGAATTTTGTATGTATGATAATCATAAATATGAAAAATAATTTTTTAAAATGTTTTTATGGCTCAAAGTTTAATCTTTATAACATAACAAAATTTTATCAGTTTTCACTATTTGAATTTCTGTGTTTTTTGTTGCATATAAGGTCTTAGTGGTGAGTTTAAGATGTGTTGCTGATCTAGATCACCCTGTATTCTATTGTAAAACAAAAAATTGATTTAAAGTTCATATGATGATAAACAATACATTATTTTCTGACACCTCTTATGAATCTTAGTGATTTGTTATGTATTCTGAAGATGTTTGGTTTTAAGTTTGTATAGGCTTATTTTTTAAATATTTTTATTTAATTAATTGTTTGATTTTTCTTTCAGGCAAATCGATAATGACATGATCTTGAAGGGGAATCCAGCTTCACTAAAACTTCTCCTGGAAGTCTAGTTATTTTATGTAAGTCACCAGTATCAAAATAAGATATTAAATATATATGCATATAGTCTAGTCGTACATTACTGATTTCTTTAAATCCTGTATTCTGGAGTAAAACCAAAAATTTATTTAAAACTTCATATGATGATAAATAACGTATTACTTTCTGACACCTCTTATGAATCCTAGTGATTTGTTATGTATTCTGAAGATGTTTGATTTTAAGTTTGTATAGGCTTATTTTTAAATATTTTTATTAAATTAATTATTTGATTTTTCTTTCAGGCAACTCAATACTGGCATGATCTTCATGGAGAATCCAACTTCACTAAAAAATCTTATAGAAGTCCAATGATTTTATGTAAGTCACCAGTATCAAGATAAGATATTAAATATGCATATAGTCGTACACTACCAATTGTTTTAAATCCCGTATTCTGGAGTAAAACTTCATATGATGATTATCAACATATAACTTTCTGACACCTCTTATGAATCTTAGTGATTTGTTATGTATTCTGAAGATGTTTGATTTTAAGTTTGTATAGGCTTATTCTTTAAATATTTTTATTTAATTAATTGTTTGATTTTTCTTTCAAGCAACTTGATGATGACAGGCAACTCAATACTGGCATGATCTTCATGGAGAATCCAACTTCACTAAAATATCATATGGAAGTCCCATGATTTTATGTAAGTCACCAGTATCAAGATAATATATTAAATATGCATGTAGTCGTACATTACCAATTGTTTTAAGTCCTATATTCTGGAGTAAAACAAAAAAAATTATTTAAAACTTCATATGATGATAAACAACTTATTACTTTCTGACACCTCTTATGAATCTTAGTGATTTGTTATGTATTCTGAAGATGTTTGATTTCAAGTTTGCATAAGCTTATTTTTTTAAATATTTTTATTTTATTGTTTGGTTTTTCTTTCAGGCTACTCAATAATGACATGATCTTAATGGAGAATCCAGCTTCACTGAAACGTCTCCTGGAAGTCTAGTGATTTTATGTAAGTCACCAGTATCAAAATAAGATATTAAATATATATGCATATAGTCTAGTCGTACATTAGCTATTGTTTTAAATCCCGTATTCCGGAGTAAAACTTCATATGATGATTAACAACACATAACTTTCTGACACCTCTTATGAATCTTAGTGATTAGTTATGTATTCTGAAGATGCTTGATTTCAAGTTTGTACAGACATTTTTAAAATTATTTTTGCTGACTTGGTTATTTGATTTTTCTTTCAGGTAACTCCAATAATCCAATAATATGGTCTTAATGGGTAATCCAGCTTCAGTATAACATTGTATAGAAGTCTACTGAGTTTAGGTAAGTCTGTAGTATCAGGATTAAATTTATATGTATTTAATCATACATATACATTACCAAGTGTTTTAAATTATTTCTGCAATAACTGTTACAGGTTTTTTAGGGTTCTCATTTTATTCACTAATAAAATTGTACAAGGATTTATACTGAAGGATGTTAACGAATATTTGATTCATTAACTAAATGATATTTTCCCAAAAGGTATCTAACTAATGCTACATTTATCATAGTAAGACTAGGCCTATATAAGAAATTTTTAGGTGTTCAATTGTTGATTTATTTATAAAATGGTAAAGGAGTATAATGAAAATGATAATCTGAGTAAAACATCATATCAATCAACAATTGATTAAACTTGATATTAATGTAATGACATAGCTTGGATTTAAAATAATATATGACAAAGATGATAGTCCATACATTTGTGTAATTCCAAGTTCTGCTACCTTACCTAGTTTTTCTTTGATGATGGATGAGTTATCAAAGATACCATAAATAGAAGTTATTTTCTCGATTATTGTTTCTGAATAATATTCCATTAATAAGTTCATTATAGTTGTGGGTTTTTTTATCAGTTTTTTATTTTAGGAAGGCTTTTGTAGAAAACTGATAATGTATTTAAAAGCTCTTGTTATAAAAGATATTTGGTTCCCTTCTGTTGTTTTTTAGAATATATATACATAATGTAAACAATCAATAATTATTATTGGTTCACTAAAATGTATGCTGACAGTAATTTTTCAACATATACACCAAACATTCTAAAATACCTTTCATTTTTGACAGATATATAGATTTTTTTTTTTGTAGTAACAATTATGAATACTAAACTAAGAAAACTTACTCTGTAGCGTCATACCTGACTTGGATTGTGCATCCCTGAACTAAAGAATTATTTGTAAGAATTGATTATATGGGCCTGGTTTTAGTGTTTAAAAAAATATATCTTAATGATGAAGAACTCAAAACTAATTTCTGACACCTCTTATATGAAAAATTATGATTTGTTTTATTTTCTGAAAATATTTAAAATTTATGTTTATAAGTAGTTCCTTTTATGTCATTTTTAATGTGTTGTATGATTTTCTTTTTAGGTTGGTACAGTTCAGTGGTGAATGTTACGGAAATTTCAATGTGACCCATTTTAATAGTCTGACCAGTCAGTTTCAATGCAATGACTGTCGACTTACTAAGAAAGGATTATTGTGATGAATTTTAAACATTTATAGAAAGCCTGGATTAAATATTCCCAAAAGAATCACTACTTTACTGTTATTAATTTGTAACAGTAGCTTTTGTATGACTTCAAGTATTGTTCCTAAAATAATTTTTGTGTTTAATTATTTATTTTTTATTACTTTATTAATTTTTTCCTTAATTTTCTGTATAATTATGTTTTAAATAAATATTTTTTTTGTGGCAATAAATTTGTTTTGTTCTTTCCATATTTATGTTTACTTTGAATAAATTACTGTTTTTCAAATTATAACTTATATGATTAAGCTAAAGAAGACTAAATTACTATCGAGTAGCAAGTCAATAGTAAAAGAAAAAGAGCAAGTTAAGACAAAAAATAGTTTTATGCATGATTATTGGAATCAGTGTGATTTATTTAATTTTTCATTGTAAAGGAAAAACATGGTAAAGCTGTTCCTGGATATATCAGCTTCCATGATTTATTTTGATAGCTGATGCAACAGAACATCACATTGGCTTATAAAATTTTAAGGATTTTTAGCTTAAAACAATGTATTCAATTAAATACAATTGAATATATATAATATACTTTAGTCAAATATCTTAAAAAGCATTTCTCCTCTACTGAACATTTCTTTCTGGCTGCTTAGCACTGGCAATTTTTTGTTCAAATTCATGTAAGTTGTCTCGGCAAAAGAGAAAATGCTCAAATTCGCAGGGCGAAATAGTTAGTGCAATCAGCGTAATTGAAGCACATTGACAAATATTCCAAGGAGTGTTTATTTAAGGAAGACATTTATGTAAATAAAATTAATTGATTAATTAAATAAAAGGAATAAAATGATTTATGAATAAAAAATTAATTACTAATTGATGCATTTAATACTGTACCCCGGAAAAAGGGCCAATTCCCGAAATCTTAAATTCCCTTATGCTACAGAATCGTTGCAGTACAACAAATACTAAATCACCAGAACGCTGTAACTCAGCACCAAATCGTCCGATTTAAAAAAAAAAATGTTTTGTAGGGTATTTATGTAAACTTCCAAATACTCATTTTTCTCCTGCTGCCAACTAAATCATTCATAACTCCTCAGGATGTTCTCCTAATTCGATGCAATAGTATCTGTTGGAAAGCTGAATTATTGCTCTTCAAAACGGTATGAATGTTCTGTTTTTTTAATTTAATGCATAAGAAGTAAATATACAAAAACTCCTTAAACGTTTTTATAGTTTATCTCTATTTGTAGTTTGTTTACACAGGTATGTAGTTTGTGTGGCACTAAATTTCTGCTAAGTTTTTTGTAGATAGCTAAAGTCATGTTGAAGTTATAACATTTTTTGTGATTTTCAAAAAAAAAAAAAAAAAAAGGTACCCTCTAGTCCCAGATTTTGTGAAAATATTTTTTATTTTTTTATTGATTTAAAAAATCGTATTGGTGGTTTTCCGGGATGCGAAATACATATCTCAAATTGTTTTCTCCTTAAAAAAATATTTGAACACATTTTGCTCGTTGGGTCAGTGCAAATTGTTCCATTTCAACATTTTATTCATACTATAGAAATATGCCAATTATAAATTTGATGTTAGGTGAATTTATAATTTTGGCCATAAATCTTTCCTATTGATTATAGTTATAGTTGATATGGTCTGGATTACTGTCTAATCCTGCATTATTGTTGACGAAGGTTAATTATTGTGCTTAGGTTGTTTCTACTGAATATTCATATCATATTTTAAAAATTAAATAACAAAAATATATATTCAAAATAATATTTACAACATAGCCACATAATAAGATGATTTTTTCCCAAAGGCATTGCTGTTTGATTTGTATATTCCAACATGAATTTTAAGTAAAAAGGATTGAAAGACAAAGGGACAATGATTAATACTAATATGAGCATTTATTTGCAAAGCTCTAAAATATTTACATAGTCATTAAATTATACTTCCAGATAAATTACTTTAAATATATCACAGTTTTGTACTAACGTAACTTTACCATCTGAGATTATGATCATAGAAAACAAACATCAATGTTTGTCTCTATTTCGATTACATATAGTTTTGTATTTAAAAGAATACAAGCATTGCTGTTATCAAACAAAAGAACAAATATACCAGTAAAAGTATAAGACAAAAAAATGAATAATTGAACTGGCCAGTGATCTAGTAGGAAAATTTACACAAAAATGAAATAATCCTAAGCCATAAATTTTTATACTGACTGGTTTATCAACTTCACTGATGATATATTTATTCATTTTTGTCTTGTATATTAATTTCAATTATTTGCATATTAAATGATCGATAATAAATATCTAGAAGCTCTAAAGAAAACTTTTTTAACTTGCACTCACCTTAAGAGTGTATTTCATAATGCTGAAATTATGAAAACAGGTTAAAATGTATTCGATCCAATCACAGTTTTTGTTATTTGATTAGCCAATCATAATAATCACCAGGCCAATAAGAACTATCAAATAGAAATGGAAAAACTAGTTAAAATTTATATAAAAGACATACATTTTATTTACCACATCAGCAGCTTGTAATACATATTTAATACTGCATGATCCTAAATATACTTATGTACATAAAAATTATACATATATACACAATAAATTCATTAAATATATGAGACCGAGAATACCATAAGAAGCCAATTCCATCTTACAACTTTTATTTATTTATTTCTTTTGAAGGTTTTAGTTCTAGATTACATATTTTCATCCCATGGTTGTCTTATATCTAAAAGGACAAATAAAAAGTGGAAAATGGACTGGGCTGGTTTTGGAATTTTGTGACTCATATCTTACTGAAAATCACTTACATTAACAATACTGATGATTAATTTTAAATAATCTAACTTACTGATTACAACTTCTAGCTATGTACAAATACAACTTTCATATACAAAACTTAAATGGATAGAACAGTTTTAGGTTAATTACATTATTTATATATACACTGTAGGTACAGAATTTTGACTGAATGTAAAATTTGATTCCAATTGACATACCTTTTTTTTTATATATATATTTTATGAATGCATTACATTTCTCTATATAATATTTTCTGTTACCAATAAGTTATTGAATATTTTTTAAATTTATTTATTCTTAATTAATAATTGATGACACTTAACAAAGCTTATTTTTGAAACAATCGTGTTCAATTTAAATTTATGTGCTGATTATGAATCTGATTTATTTATATGGGGAACCCCCTTAAAACAAATAAAATATCTATCATGAATCTGATTATTATTAATTTTTTCTAATGCAAGAAACAAAATAGCTTTCTGTTTTTTACCTTCACTAATATATGGCAGAAACTTTTTAATGAAGTAACGCCTACATGTAGGTGCTATAAGTAGAAGGATAATCAGCTACTGATTTTAGTGGCTTCTTTTTGTTAAAGAATGCTTCTATTTCTGCTAGCGTTTTCCCCTCTGTTTCAGGCATTTTTCTGTTAAGGTATATTGCTCCAAACAAACTTAAGATCCCAAATATCAGAAACATGCCATAAAGCTGAAATATTGAATTAAGGAACAGGAATGATTTCGTTGCTACAAATCCGATGAGGTAAGATGCTGCTGCTGCAATTCCAGCTGCCATACATTTTCCTCTGTAAATAATAATAAGTTATTAAGTTGTAATAATGCAATTAAAAAAATACATTTAATTAATAGTTAGGAAATATTATTATTTTTATTTATAATGTTACTATGGAGATGGTTTACAGTTATTCTGTTAGTAGTAAGAATGTCTTATTCATGTCCACTGGATTTTAAAGCTGTTAAAGTGAAAAAGTGCTATGTTTGATCGTATTAATGTGATTTTATGCTTTTGATGCCTGAATTGACAAGGCGCTGAGTGGTTAGTTATTGCTATTTGATATACATGTGGGTTTGTTTTGGAATCTTCAAATCAATCTAACCTGAGAATTAAAAATCTCAAGGGCAGTCTAACACTTAGTTTAACAAATCATATAACTGGTTAAGCTAGTTTCGACATATTTGTTATAAAATTGTACCAAATTTAGCATGAGGATGGTTTCAAGGATAAAACTGCTGAGCTATTAAAAGTGACCTTAAATAGACCATATATGGTGGGGAATAATCTTTATACCTTTTATTTTAAAGTATCTGTTATGGATATAGATCAAATTTTTTTTTACCTAAATGGATATAACTCGCTCTGTAACATCCAGGGTATTGGTGCGATCCCTAGTCCAGTGAAGAAAGAGAGGACCATGAAGAGAGGATATGGCCAGCTGTTACTCAAATAGCCAAATGCAGCTGCTGCTAAAAGTAGACAACTCAGAGCTGACATCACCAGAGATACTAACGAAAGTATTTTCTTTCCTGTCACAATAATGATATATATTTATTTTTTTTTTTACTATCCATCTTGATTTGGCATTTATTTTTTTATACACCAGTTTGTAATTTAATAATGCAACCTCTTTAAGTAAATATAAAAATGGGTGTCTAAATGGCCTAGAATTTTACTGGAAATATTTTCCATGTATAATATATTTATTAAGAATTTGAAGCAAAATTGATAGAGAATCTTAACGCTTATAATAACATCCCTTTTATTATGTTCAAATTTAAAGCTTATTTGCTAAACATTATTGGAAATAACAATCTTACCTATATAGCAAACAAGAATCATGCATAATGCGTTTCCAACAAATCCTAATACTGATATGATTACCTGTAAGCAAAAATGAACTTAAAATTTGTACAATGAAATCCTATTAGTAAGAACATAAATTTGATACTTACTGTTGCTTCATTTGGGTCTGTTGGCATGTTAAGTAGCTCAAATACTTTAACCATGTATGGCCGAATAGTCTGCAAGCCTGCAGCGTAAAAGAAAAAAAAGTATGCAATAACTAGGAACAACGGTCTTCTCATTTCTGGCCTTAAGAAGTATTTAGCTTTTGTAAGCAGAGTTGTCTTTTCTTCCACTAAAGCTTCTAAAAATTTGAGAATTATGCCATTAAAAAATTCTTTAGTGTGAAATAATAACTTTTTAAATTAAATGTTTAATATACCTGTTGATTGCATTGATGAGATAACATTTTCTTTTACTGGTGAATCCTTCTGATAAGTGATCATGGTTTGAAGTTCTTCTGCTACTGTTTCTGGAGAAACCCAACCCCTTAGCCATCTTAAGGCTGACTCTGCTTCCTGTAGCCTGCCTTTAGATATAAGCCATATCGGTGTTTCTGGTACCTAATGATTTCAGTCCCATACATGCAATTTTTATTAAAACAATATATTTTCTATATTTCATGATGATTGAACCAGCTTTTCTTGTAAGGCAAGTAATTTTGTGAGTTAGTTTTTTACCTGAGATACTGCAATAAATGTTATAATTGGTACTGTTGCGCAACACAGTACGGTATTTCTCCAAGTAGTAACATATCCAATAGCGTATAGTACGACATAAGCTAGTGAACCACACAGTTGAGCATAGGATGTTAAAGTGCCCCTAAATCTCGGTTCAGTGATCTCACCAACATAAGTCAGAATAGGTGCTTCTGTGCACCCGACACCTATAAAGAAATAGATTATAATATACCAGTGCCTATGAAATTGAATAAAACTGAGTTATATATTTATTCTTTAATGTATGTTTTAAAGTTTATAACAATTTGTTTCTCTCTTTTCTTAAAAAAATCCTTTGGAACATGAAATTACCTTTCGTTATTATTACAATTATAAGTTATTTGAAGGTATGATTTCTCTATATGAAAATACATTTTTCTAAACTAACATTCACTGTATGGAAGCGGGGAGCTTGGAGAATTTTACAAGATTTAAGATACAGTTCTAAAAACTATCACAAATGGTGTAACCAGAAAGTTAGAGGAGCTGTGCACAGAGAGAAAACAGCTTGAAAACAAGTAATAGATTAATCAATCATATGTTCTAGAACTTAAAAGAAGACAAGTTATTCATTTGGGATGTGAAGAAATAATTTAGTAGATCAAAAGTTATTATAAATATAAAAATATTTAAAGGAAAAGAAAAGCTTTAAGGTATGGATAAGGATAGTGAAATTAACCAAAAGCCAGAAAATTCTTTATTGACAGAAGAGGTTGGACAACAAACTAAATAGAGCATTTAGATGAAAAATGTTGAAAGGGCTATAAAAAGGGTCAAAATTTGCAAATTAGTATATTTGCCCAGATTGATAACATGAACATAATAGGAGATTTAAAGATTTTACAGAACCTATTCTATAATGTAGGAGTTATCTTGCAAAAACACCTTGTTATGGAATGGTGGAGTATTAAAACTGTCGAGATTTATCTATTTATGGCATCTAATGGATGCCACTAGCCACCAAACTCAAGCCAAAGGATTCCCATACTGTTATTGGTCTGAACCAGTGTCATCATTGTTATTGTTACATTTTACTTATACATCACAAATTATTTACATTAATAAAAATATATATTGTATTTATACAATTAATAAATAATTAAGTAATTTTCCACAACAGTTATGAGATATCACTATTCCTATTCATAAAAATGGGTCTCATAATGATTTTTGGAAGAATTGGATTATGATTAGCAGATTAACTCCAATGAGCCAAATCACTGGATTTAAGAAGAAATACTTATACAGTCACACAAGTGATGAAAAGTTAATGGAAGCTTGGGCATGAAGATGACCAAAGACTTTTGTATAAGGGTTCTGTTCAAAACAGCATGATGGTTCACATGGATCACAAAATCCTTCAGACTTAAACATAGATAGGGAAAGAAAAAGATAAATTAAATTAATGCAAAATTCAGTTGTTTGAATGTTACCAGACTAGAGTCTCTCATATTATAAGCAATTTTTGTTATCTTTATCATCCAAAACTTATCAAGTAAGTTAAAATAATTTCTTTTATTATTTAAATTTATTATTGCGTATATAAAAAATCTGGTGCGCTCAACACACAACTTTCACTTATCGCTCTACTTTGAATAGAAATTATTTATTGGCAATATTGGGCTATTATAAAATTTTTGAAGCATTTTTAACGGACTAAAGCTTAAACCTTAAAGCTAAAAAATCATAAATATTAAAATAATTTTTAAAAACCTATTTGTTATATCAACCACTAGCGGATCCGGGATTTAATTTTGGGGGAGGCTTCAGCCCGAAAAATGTTTAAAACTATCTCTTAAACTATTATTGTTCGTATAATTACATTTAATAGGACTTCAAGAGTCACTATGACAACACGTCATATGGGTAATTAGTGTCTTTCTTTTTTTTTCAAGTTAATTATCGTTATATATACGAAAAAAAATTCTTCGGGCTGAAGTCTCCCCCAAAATTAATTTCTGGATCCGCTAGTGTCAACAGTTGATTATTGATTGTATAATGCGTTTATTATAAATTGTATGATTATTAGTTATTAAATTGTTATTTTCCGTTGCAAAGTTTACTAAAATGTTATTATGAGATTTGCTTTGCATCATAGATAGGTCAAAAGTTGTCACACTAATTGTAAACACTAAGGGACTTCCGGGCGGAAGAAAAATAAAAATATTAAAAAATTCTCTTAAGCATTATTGTTCGTGTTATTACATTTAATAGGACTTCAAAAATCACATAAACACTATTTCATATAAGTGGTTAGTATCTCCCTTTTTTTTTTTCAAAGTAATTATCGTTATGTATATGAAAAAAAAAAACTTCCGAGTTGAAGTCACCCTCTCCCAATTAAATTCTGTATCCGCTAGTGATTGTAAGTATGTACTGTTGGGATATCACAGAGGGAAAATTCATCAAATTATTCACTAATTTAATTCTCTAAAGGGTTACATGATGCTTTTTCGGAATAAACGGACGATAGATACCTAATTATTTAAATATAATATCAGATCTAGAGTTATTAAACTCTATTAACTTATTTTAAAAGCTTCTGTAACATCTTAGGTGTATACAAACCTTAAATATGCAATTTCAATTTCGTAAGATTTTTTTTTTTTTTTTTTTTTTGCGTTAGACTGTTATACACACAGATCATTTTGTGGGACTTGGTTATTAGGATTCAGAGGACCTCAAAAAGTGTGTTTCCGTTGAAAACTGAGTTTTGAAAATTTTCACGATCGCAATACTTTCCTTTACTATACATTACATCTATAGGTAATTGAAAGTGAAAGGAGGAATGGTTGACTGAATAATCAATAGGAAATAGTTAATACAATTTATAAGTTTATTTTGTTAGGAAGAATTACTTAAAATAAAAAATAAAGAGACCTATTTATTGGCTTATTAATGAAACTATTTTTATGTGAAAATATTTACCAAAACCCATAATGGCACCAGCTAAATAGAGGGTGGCAACACTGTTTGCAAGGTAGAGCATTGTCCAGGCCGTCAGGAATGGTATATTTAGAAGCATCATAGACTTTTTCCTACCCAAAGGTTCCATTATCATACCAGAAAATACACTCCCCAAAGGCTGACAGAGGTAAGCTATACTTGCTGTAATAAAAACAAAAATTTTATATTTATTCTTAAATGGAACTTCATGAAGATTAGTCATAAACCTAAAACTGTTGACATTTTTTCATTTCTCATGTTATTTTATAAGAATTCAGATCCTTTAGCTATATTAGTATATTAGTATTTAATATGCAAATATTTTCATACAATCATATGTAGGATAATTATACAAGATGCAATCATACATATAACTAATCAAGTATCTACATATCAAATACTAATATATTGAACTAATATATGTAATATTACATATTATTTATTTATGAATATGAATGATTGTTATAGGTTATTAGAAAATTGTGTTAATTTCAAATTGTGAATAAATTTTATTTTCTGTCTTGTTTCTAAATGTGCATTTTTCAAGTATCAAGAAATGTTGACCCTTTATAATACTTTTATTAATAATAAATAACTATGCTTGGTGATTTGTTATTCAATTAAAATCAAATGGAATCATTTAAAATTGTTAAAAAAATTAAAATTTGTTGGTTGTTGCAGAAATTTTAATTAAAGTTGTTTATTTGTTTGGCTGAGATTATAAATTAGTGATAATGATATTGCAATAAAAATTAATATATGTTGATGAAGTATTAAATATCCTACCAAACCATGTTGCTTGTTCGGCATTCAGCGAAATATCACCTCCACTATCAAGTAATGCTGCTATGACTATTGTTGGCATAGATAAAACTAACCCATTGTCAAACAGGATGCAGTTGTTTGCAGTGCATGCCAGTACCTAGAAGAAAAAAAAAGATATATTATTAATTGTTTTTATTTTAAATTTTATAGTATTCCTTCTATCATCAATTTTTTGATATTAAATTACTTCATAATAGAACTTGATAAAATTATCTTATTTATTTCTATTTATTGAATAATAATACAATCAGCCACTGCTGGAGGGCTATAAGTATTAGGGCTAAAAGTTCTCATTCAAACAATGATAAAATTAATAATTCACTCTGAGTTTAATATTTGAGAGATGCAACAGTTTACGATTGGTATGTAAATAAAAATTAAAGATATCTGTCTACAAGGTATCACTGTAAACTGACAATCGAGTAGTTTTTCAGTTGATACAGACTTCCAATTCTTCTTTCGTGTAATATAGAAAAATAAACGTTTCTGATTTTAAGTAAACAGCCTCTGATTAATCAATTATTCATGATCTTTGGCATAGAAGACATTTTTTTCCCATGGGTTACCTACTACTTCATAAACTTTAATGCCTATAGATTTTAATTTTTGTTTTGCATCTTAAATACTGAATTGGATTGTTGTTAAATATTATTTTGGTTTAAGTAGATATTAATGCTTTTGCTTTGTATTTTGGTGTTTTTTTTTTTTATTCTTGAATGAAAATAATTTTCATAGGTAAAAATATTTGCAATTCAAAGTGTTGGTTTGTTGTGTATTTTATTTTTGTTTTCTTTTATAATGATTCTTATATAACTCTTGTAAAAATTTATTTAGTTTAACGATGAAAAAAATGATTAAAAATAGTAATTTATTCATTTTTTTAAAATATTTGGATAATATATGCTGATTTAAAAGTAATCTGCATACAAAAAAAAAAAAAAAAAAAAAATCAATAGCTACTTGTGATCAGTTTTGATTTAGTAATTTTTTTTTTTTTATTGATAGTTTTGTCTTATACCTATTGCTCTGTTTTGGACTACTTTAATAATTGACTTTTAAAAAACTTGGGCAGTTACATATTCTAAAAGTATTTTATTTTATTTTTTTATGTAGATTTTTTCTCATATTTTCCTGCTACCAAGAATTTGTTCTCTATTTTTACCCAGGATAAAACTAGTAGGAGCTTAATGCCTTTATGCTTCTCTACATATGTGAAATTTATTTGACCAAACAATATGAATCAATTAAACAAGAGTGAACAATGATAGAGATTCATTGAAAAACGAGATACTCTAATTTTGTACTGAACAATAGGAATATCCCTTGTTCATAAGAATAACCGTTCAAACAATTTCTAGCATTTTTAGATTATTTAAAATGTAAAACCAAAGAGTAAAAAGATATATTACTTCCTCACTAGCGAACATTGTAAGGAAAAAAAGGAAAGCATTGTATTCGTGCGAGAGGTTAAAAAAAATTATATGCTCAGAATCGAAAATTTCCACTCGCGTTTTATGTTTCAGACATCAAGGATCAAATTTGTTTCAGTGTCTGTCTGTAGTCAAATCGATGTGACGGGCATATCACCTAGTACAGTTCATCCGATTTTTATGAAATTTTCAGATATTGTGTGGGTTGGTACCTAGATAGTCCCATATCAATTTTATCAAATTCCATCCAGCACCTCCGCTTGCGCACGCGCAAACGTATTTTTTTTGATATGCCAATATTTCAGAAACGGCTCGTTCGATTAAACTCAAAGTTAGATAAGAGGTAGGTCAAAAAAGTAACGAAGTATCTATTTTATTGAATTCTATCCTCTATTGTCCCTAATATATGTGCAAACGTGTTTTCCTTGATACATCTATAGAGAGAGAAATACTTTATTAATAGTAATGCTGCCCTACTACATAGGGTTGCTTCATGCACAGCATACTTATCAATCCATGTGGACATTAATTTTATATTTCATTTTTCTAATTTTTATGTATACATGACATATCTTTGCTTTCTTTTTTTTCTTGTTCCCTTTCATAGCAATACTCTTACAAATTATTAACAATAAACCATATCAACAATAGTCATATCATAATAAACATTTCCCCAAGATAAAAAAAAAAAAAACTTATTTTTTTTAATTCTCAAACGCCAGGAACTCAATACAACATCGCACACATATGTAACACAGCAATTTATCGAATGTAGACAAAAAGATAAGACGATTATTGACCAATTTAAAATTTAATAAACAATCAATACAAGACGTCCTCAATCAGTATATAGATGATAGGGGATCCCCAGGGAGTCCAAAATAATATTTTCGGCTAATATCGCGAGCTCTCCAACATCAACACTTAGTTCCTCGAGAAAGCTCCTTTCAGGGATCGTTCCGCGAGGCCCAAACCAGATGCCTCTCACGGTGAATTCTCTCTCTCCGAAGGTCTCGCGGAATTTCTCTTTTAGGAAAGGGATGCATATTTCGTATATATTCCTCTTTTCCCTTTCCACTTCACCCGCCTGATCGAGGTCATTGCTCTCAAAGCGTACAGTTGGATCCAAGATTAGCGCTGTCCCCCCTGTCCTGGGAAACGCTACAATATCCGCATATCTTGTAGAGCCTTCACTGTCTATGCAATAGACCTCGTCAAAGCAGGTGTATTTTTTTGGGTTTATAAAATTTTAGGCTTTATTCAAAAAGTTAATTTATTGTTTGATCGATTCCAAACGTTACTGTGATGACAATGACGCTGGCGCAGTTTCGTGCAGTTTTCGGATTATTTAAATTAATCTTTACTCTGAGTTTGTACAAAAAAAGAAAAAAAAAAATCTTGTTTGATATTGTGTTTATTTCTACTGAAGTACATCCAGTTCGTCGTGGTCTCGATTTCCTCCTTAAATAACAAAGTTGTGTGAAATTCACGTATATTTTTATATTCCAGCTTAATAGATTTGTTCTGTTTGAAGAAAAGTATTGGTCTGTTTAAAGCCAAACAAAAAGTTAAATTTTTCCAATGGATATTTTGTTCCATCCATTTGACGATTAAAACATAGCTATATCACTACTCTTAGTGCAAAAGTTCGTTTGTAAAAAATTTTCAACTTATGCTCTATTAGTTCTAAAGGTGACATTTTGTAGTCTGCAACTGACAAAAGCAGTCTGCTACGATTGAAAAAAAGCACAGGACAATGAAATATGAAATTTTAATAATAAATCATAAAGAAACAATTAGTTTTGTTCTTCTGTAAAACATTCAATTTTTGTTTACGACCTTTTGCACTAACAGTAGTATTGTAATATGCATTTTCAGTATGCACTGGATTTTTTTTTAATAATCATTTTTAATAAATAATCGAATCATCAAATATGCAATCCGCAAATGCCGAACTCTTTCGTATTTTAATATTCGCTGATGAACAAAACTCGTGGATACCAATCCTGTATCTGTTGAGTGATCACTGAATTTCCGAAAATGGCTCCTCTCAGAGATTTTATTCTCATACGAAAAATTGTAGACCTTGTAATATAGGTATAATTTTTAGCCAATGAAAACGGTGGGGAAGTTATACTGAACTCACTTGGCAAATTTTTTTTTACTTGATTCTATAATGGAAAATGCGCTGGAAATTTGACATAAAATTTACTGCACTGAACAAATGTCCTCTTGGCTCCCTCCTAGCCTTGGAACCAGGATCTTATTTTTATTTTTTCGACTATATCTTAAATGGTGCACCCTAATGGGAAAGTTAATTTATAATAAATAAAAGTAGATACTTAAAATTATGTGAAGATTAAGTAATAATTGTGAAGTAAAGTAAAGTGGCATGATGGAAACCACGGTCTACAATACAAATGATAAAATTTTCACTAATTGTGTCTAAAGCCGAGATTTATAAATGACTGTCACTTGGAAATTAATTGTTAAAATAAATAAATGAATAATAGTAGTAGAGCATCTAATTCAGCTTCCATTGAGTACCAATTTTTGAAATTGGGTCAAGAACACCTCTCGAATTTGTTCCTCTGAGCATTTTTGATTATAACATGATATAATTAGGATAGATCCCATTGCGAAAATATAATATGCTATCATCCAGCTGGATTTAGAAGAAGAAGGAGGAAGCCAGACCAGATCTTCATCTTAACACAGTTGTTCCCAACATGACTGCCTTTTCAATCCTCAATTGCTGATCTAACATTTTTGAAATCAGAGATTTGGGCATTGCAGACGGGGTTCATTTTACTTAAAATAACGTACAATTTACATTGAAACCTTCTCCTGTTCCCCTTTTTAGATCCTGATTCGAGGGCTATCCTAGTTCTGGTGCAGCATACAATGCTTTTTTTGGAATAAAAATTATTAGATATCCATGTTAACGCTTTTGTTTGGTAAATCTTTACCTCTTAACCTTTCAGCGACGATGAGTGGGGACGGCATTTACTGAGAGTTCTTGTTTCTGTGACGGAATACTTTTCATCTTTCCTCACCATTTTAGCCTTTTCTTTTAAGGAATCGTTCCACACTTTTTTGTTTTGTTTTTTATCTAACTTTTACACAATTGAAATGTATATTCTGTATTTTTCAAAAATAAAATATGAACTTTAAATCTTTATTTTTTATAAAATTGCACTTTTATTCAATTGAATGAGTCGAACACTAAAATCAAAACTGTCTTATGTTTTTGTCATGTTCTTTCTTAAAAAAAAAAAAAATACTGAAATATGTTGTTATATTTGCCCGACAGGCTCTCAACTCATATATGAGTCCGCCGTCGTTTAAGGATTATTTGTCAGATTTTAGATTTTTATCTGATCTATAGGTTCTATTTGTGAATTGAATTGGAATCGAGCCTTTAGATATAGTAGATAAAATAGTTGTGCTGATCTCTGTGCACGAATTATACTTTCTGTTATTATTTCTTATTACTAAGTTTACCAATAATTATTTCCTATGGACGTAAGATACATATTTATTTGGATTAATAGCAGATATGTCACAGTAGTTAAATTCCATAATACCCATTAGTTCTCTGCAATCTTTCCACAAACCCAACCCCAAAACCGTTTTGAAATTCTGCGGTACACCACAAGAATAAATA